ATGGATGGATGATCTTCAACATGTTCTCTGAAGCTGTTTGTTCGGATCGTGCCATATGAATTTCCTGTCTGTTGCTGCTGTATGTGAAACACAGGAAGCCTTACACGTGTTGCGAAGTGTTTACGCACCATAGTGTGGACTTCCCCGCTCAGCACCGACGTTCAACAGGGGGACGCCCAGTCATGAGTCACTGTGAAACACTACATTCTCGATAAATGTTCAAGTCCGTGCGTCAAGTTGTAGCTATTTGTAGGCATTTTATTTCAGGATTTTACCAAAATAAAAGCACTAACATCTGCTGCGCTGTCTGTACACGCCGATGTGCCTCCCCATGGCCAACAGGAGGCGCATGAGCTGACTTTGAACTCCTCGCTGATGAATGATTATACAAATGACAGTGTACAATCTGTAGCAGGCTGGAACAGCCAAAACATTGGGTAACAATGCAATTTCAGCTGTTTGTAATTCAGTTAAAGGCACAGTGGTGCGACTGATGTAGACATAAAGTATCTAACTACTATGGATATGGTGCATTACAAACAAAGTAAAGTGTTGACATAGTCTTATTTACAATCTAAACTTGAGAGGGAAAATCAGTCAAAAGTTCAACCACAACTTATTCAATAAAAACAGACTGACAATTTAAAAAAAAACATTCATGAATATATAAAAGAATAATTTTCTGTTTTTGAATGAATCCACCGTAATCCCATGTAAACACAGCTGACTGTGTTTTATGACAATCATGATATAAACAGTTATGGGAGGCTGCATGGAGTCAGGTCAGTGGAGAATGCTGTCGGTGAACTTTTGATCAAAATGTTGATCTCGCTTCACTCTGAATATGGAGAATTCATCTGTAAAGCAAAGAAGGAAACGGCATTAGCAGTGTAGTCAGCTGAAAGAAAAATGTCTACTGAAAAAAAAAATGTAGCTCCGATTGTGCTGTTTGAAGATTGTGTTGAAACACTTCCAATCTATTAAGCTGCTTTGAGAAAATAAGACCCTAAAAGCTAAACCTAGTTTTTCTGTATTTCTGGTTGTTGTCAATAAAGCCCATGAAAAGCCCATAAACATTTATGTATAACTCTGTCTCTTAATAATGATTGTATATAACATCATTGGTTCCTATTGAAAATACAAATTTAATTTAAAAAAAAAATAATAATTTTAAGATTTACATCAGATGGACTATTTCTTTTCTTTTTTCTTTCTTTCTTTTTCTTTTTTTTTTTTTTTAAAAAAGGGGTATTTTCAAAATCAACTGGGAAATGTTGTTTTTATCAAACACTTCTCAAGCAGAAAGTAATAGTTTCTTTGTTGGGGACTATTTTCAGTTGCCTGTGTGGCTCAGGGAAGTTTTCCATGTTATATCTAAATGAACAGCTCTATGTCCCTGAATAATAATAGATACCAGGCTCTAGGTACACATGCAGTGATCGTTAGAAAGATCAAGTCGTTGTTGTCTTTGGGCTGTTCAAGGGATTCATTTGCAATCACAAAAATACAGAACATTGCATGCATTACCCCCCAAACTTACGCCGCCGATGTCGAAGCACAGAGCATCGCTGAGCATGTCAAACTCTCCAGGAGTCATTGGGGGCTGAGGAGACTGACAAGAAGAAGGAGGGGTGGTGCTTGCATTTTGGCTGAAATAGCAATGAGGGAATGTCATGACAAAATACCAATAATAAGGTACAGAAATTATTTTTAAATATCATTTAAGATTTTCCAGTTGATTTAAATTTTCTCTCATTATACGCAAATATCATAAGTAATGGGTCTTGTTTCACATTTATTACCTGGATTTGGTGCAGTAATTTAATGTCACGGTAAAATGTAAGACAATGTTAGCACAGAGTAGGCTGAATAGATTAGAGCAGTATCAAGAACTCACCGCAGTTCTGAGATGGGGATCAAGGTTGATGGTATGTACGGATAAACTGGAAATGTAACAGAGATATGAGAGGGATTAGATTATTTGCCTACATTCCAGTCACCCACTAAAAAGCATTAACTCTAAATAAATACGGAGTTGTGTTCTCTTGCCTTTGCTGGGCTGACTGTTGTAAAGCCGTCCGAAGGCCTCGTCTTTGGGGATGTTGGGGTAGAGGAACTTGAGCGGGTTTTCAGGGACGACCCCATCTGAGATGACTTTGTAGTCTCGAATGATGTCTGCAAACGGGAGAGCAGTCAGCCGGTTCTTAGTGTACGGCTCCACAGAGTTGAACTTTGCATCACCTGTTGTTAAAAAAAAAAAAAGTCACTGTTGGCCAAGCAAAGCAGCCGATCACGACCTGAAACCCACCAAGAAAATTTAGCCAGAGCACATCTAGGACAAACAACATGTAAAAGTAGACCTTTTATTGAGCCAATTGTGTGCTGTGTTTCATAAAACTTCATTATCAGCTACCTGAAAGTCGAACAAATCAGTGGTCTGGTAGAAACGGTTTGTTTAGAAGAAGCCTCACCATTCTCACTGTACTCCACCCAGGTGAAGGTGATTCCCCCGAGGTGGCTTTCACTGAAGCGTAAGAGGAAGGTGCCCGGCTCTCTGTCCTTCAGCAAGGCACGCTCCATCTCTTTACTCACAAAACCCATGATGTAGCTGCACAGAAGGTGGTGGTGAGAGAGAACAAGACAGAAGAACATGACATTTTCATGCTGTACACAAAGGGGTTTTCCTGATGCTTTTCTTTTACATTTTAACCTCCTATTGGAATTTTAACAGCAGTATCTCTTGCGTAATTTGTGGTTAAGCTGGTGTTGCTCGGTTTTTCACTTCCCTTATTAACCCTGTCTAATAAAATAACAAAACAAAACAGGAAAAAAATAATAGGAAATACTGGAAGCTGCAGTTTTACAATTGGTGTCACCTTAAGGCCAGAAAGTCAGAGCTGCCTTTCAACAGCTGCTGTTAATGTATGTGTTTGGTTTTATTAATGGTTAATAAATAATTTATCATTATTGACTTGTAGAGCAGTTATAAGCTATTAAAAAGAACAGTTACTGGGTTGCCAGGTTGTGAAAAATCATCCATTATGACACTTTGATTGTTTTAAGGGTAGCTACTTGTTGATGTTTTTATTAATAGCTTATAACTAATCTATAAAGCATTGGCAAGTGATGTATTAACCACTAACAATACTATTAATTAAAGCTTATAAGCCCTTTATTAATGGTGCTTTATCAGAAAGTGGAACACTCTAAGAAAGCAGCCAGCAAACTTGTTAAAATATGAATTCCTGTTCCTTTAAAAAACATTAATGTCAACTCCTTTGGGTGCCCACTAGTATCAGCCAATGGAGAAATCTGTAGGCAACATAATTAAGTAGATATTAAATTGAAAAAAAAATCTACAAAAAGCAATGTTTTTCTGTATTTCCATACCTGCAAAATAACAAAATATGCACACAATCTGACACATCAACGAGTTAGTAGCGAGTGTGTTTGATGCACAGGAATGTTTTAGATAGAAACTGCACTAGAGAGACAATCGACAACAGGTGATAATCTTATATCTGACAAATAAGGGCTAATCTTGCTAGTATTCTTTGCAATTCACTGCACAACGCAATCTGCCAAAGACTACAGCAGACCACCTGAATGAACTTTTACCACATATATGTTCATTTTTTTGAACAATCTGTATGACGTTCTATATACACCTGTAAGCAATTCAAATTGGAACAGCTGTAAAGTCATTTTGTATAAGACGGAATGTATTAGAGTGGATCAGGTGAGACAGATTCTGAACACAACTGAAGACATAAAAGCATATAAATTTCGACCAAATCTTGGGAAAAGAAGGCACTAGATATTTTGAGAAAGGTGGTCGTAACTTGGAGAAACAAAACACCACAACTATTTAGACATCTGATCCAAGCCTTGTTGAGATACATGAGTGTGAATCTAGTGCCACAAACCAGACTTTACTTTGAATTTACAGTCATATCCTAAAAGGTGCAGGGAGATTTATTGGGACAGCTGAGGGCGGAGGAGCCGAGAAAAAACAAATGAGTAAGTGGCTTACTTCTCGTTCCACACCGGCAGCAAGTGCTTCTTGATGAGCTCCAGGATTGAATCTAGCCACATCCAGAAACTGAAGGGCTTCCCTGGAATATTCTCCTTTAAAAAAAAATAAAAGACATACAGTGATTCAGATATGAGGGGCAATAAAAATATGAATATATAATCAGAATCGACAACACAGCAAGAGGTACAATGGTCAGAAGGGATCAATGGGGCAATTTAGCCTTTTTTTATCAGTATCTTATTTGAAGACACTGAATAAACGTTGATATTTTGACCATGTTTCATCAGGATGTGCAAATCGGTGACCTCTATATGGCACAATCACATTGACTATCAGACAACAGTCATCCTCAAATGTATTCATACCCTCCCATTAAAGAAGGAAAAAACAGCTGTCACTGAAGTAAGTTGAAATTGACAAAAGTAATAATAAATAAAAATTTAATGAATATCATGACATTGCTTTTGAATTGTGGTTCAACAGAAATATTAAAAACAACAACAACAACAAAATCAAGCAAACAAGCATGATGGGACCCATAAACTAATATTTTGTTGAGCAACCCTTTGAGCCAATCACTGCAATCAAGTGTTTTCTGTAACTCTCAATCAGACTTCTGCACCTGTTGACAGCTATTTTGGTATTGGCCCACTGCTCATCAGCAAAGTGTCCGGGACAGGTTTCTTTCTTTCTTTCTTTCTTTCTTTCTTTCTTTCTTTCTTTCTTTCTTTCTTTCTTTCTTTTTTAAAAAAAAATTGTTCTTTTCAACCACAATTCAAAACAATGTCTTGTGTCACTACATCATAATTTAGCAATTTTTAATTTATTATTACTTTTTTCGCTTTCTAGTTATTTGAGTGACTGTTGTGAATTTTACCTTTTCTTTAATGGAAGGGTGTGAATACGTTTGAGGACGACTGTAGTCTGAGAGACCACCACTAGGGGTCACTGCAGCATATTAGTTAGACTTAAGTGTTGCAGGATGCAGGTATAAGCTACCAAACATTTTCTTTAATGGAAGGATATGAATAGGCTTGAGGACGACTGTCTATGGTGCCGTGTGTGGCCATATTAGTTCATTCTTACCTTAGAAAACTTTGACCAGGACACTTGATAGTCACTGCAGGAGGCATGCTGGCCTACAGAGACAAATGGAAAGTAAGTGCTACTTGCTCTACTAAGTTGAAGTCCCCTTTTGAACTCATCTTAACCCTCCTATTACCTTCAAATTTACTGACATCTTTTATTCTTGGGTTCAATGTGACCCCAACCATTTAAACTTCCAGAAAATATCAAATGGTCTGCACTTATATAGCGCTATCATAATTAAACATGTTACCCAAGTTTATGTGTAAATATCCCTTTAAATAAAACAAAAAAATATATATGTCAATGACTTATTAAGAGATGTTAATCACTGAATGGGATCAAATTGACCCCAATAGGAGGGTTAAGTATGTACCTGTGTGGTCTAAGCAACAGGCGTCCTTCTCCAGGTCAAAGAAGCACTTTAAAGCTACACCAGAAATACCTTTTTTATGCTACGTGTCTTTTATTTTAAAATCTACTGCCACTGTGTAGTTTTAAGATTTTATGGCAGTCATACCAAAAAGTTTTTCTCCCAGCGTTGTGAGCTGCTCTTTGTTGAGACCTCGACCAGCGAACGTAGAGAACTGCCAGCTGAGGACTTCAGAGAGCTGGCTCCAGTTGGCGCGAGGCGGGTTCCCGAAGAACGCCAAGTTCTGTGAAGCAACAAGGGAGGTTATGTAACATGGAAAATGAGCAAAAAGTTTTATTGCTACTAATTTTTAAAAAACTGAGGAAAAACGAGAATTTTTGTATTCAAACTGTTAAAAAGTGATTTAAAGGTCACTTTGAAAGGATTTATTAAGGATGATTGTTGATATTTTGACCGCATTTCATTAGGATTTACAATTTGAACAGTTCTGTCCTCTACGTTCTATGATTGTGGGGAAATTCCCTTGCACTAATCAATATCATGTGTCTTTCAACCCACAAGCAATCCCACATAGCCAGCCAGTCTCCACAGCACTGTGTCAATGAGGAATGGTCTGGTTGTATTATCAGCTTGATATAGAGGAGAAAACGCTCTGGTGGGTTTGCATTTCTTTAAACAAATCACATTTGTCTTGTGTGGTGCTAAGCCCAGGATGCCCCTGCAAAATATTGTTTTAATAGAACATTTGCGTGCAAGGAGACAACGGATAATTCACCAAAAAGAATGAGCAGGCCCGTGTAATTGCACAATCCAAATCTTGAGCAAAACTTGTGATTGTCAGTGTATGGGAGGAGGTGGTTGTTTCCTCTTGTGAGGAGTTTGGAATTCTGAAAATGGTAAGCTGGAGATATTGCAAGGTTTGGAGAAAAATGTGTGTCTGAAAGAGCAGGCTTGTACCCAAAACCTACATCCAGTGAGTCAGACGGACCCACAACTGAAATAACAGACAAAATGATTGAGCAAATTTGTGCCTCTTTTATGGTGTAACTTCATTTTAGCGAGATAAATTCATAAACATTCAGAGAAAACTTCTCCCCCGTTTTCAAGTAGAACTCGATGTTTGAGTCCAGGTGGTGCTTGCTGGGATAGTTGTGGCCAGTCATACCAATTAAACTGTTAAATGAGTGTATGTAGCACTTTCCATCTTCAACAGCATTTTAAAAATGGGGCTGCAAGGTGGATCGCTGGTTAGCACCGTTGCTAGAAGATCCCCGGTTCACATCCCGGTGAGCACCCGAGGATCTTTCTGCATATTCTCCCCGTGCAGCATGGGTTCTCTCCGGGTTCTCTGGCTTCCTCCCACACAGTCCAAAAAACATGTTGAGGTTAATTGGTCATTCTAAATTGTCCATAGGTGTGAATGTGAGTGTGCTTGGTTGTCTGTCTCTAAGTGTGGCCCTGTGATAGACTGGTGACCTGTCCAGGGTGTCCCCTGCCTTCACCCTAAGTCAGCTGGGATAGACTCCAGCCCCCCACGACCCTAGTGCGGTGTATAGATAATGGGTGGATGGATGTTAAAAATGCTTCTTGTCATGCTGTGAAGGCTTACCCTTGGCTCATCAGTCAGGAGGTTGTACCACATGACAGAAGCCCAGCCTCCAGGCAGCTGGCTCACATTGGAGATCACCACTAGTGGCAGGGAGCACGTCTGGGGGGAAAAAAACAAAAACAAAAGTCACATATACAGCAGCAACAGAGACATTCAAACATTGAATGAATAAAACCTGCACTGCTGCTGACCTCCAGGTCGATGGTGAGGCCCTGCACCGTGAAGCAAGCCTCGAAACTGAGAGAGTGAAGTTCTTCGGTCACAGAAAGCAGGCCCTGCCGAGAACACACACAACACCACAAACACCAGTCCATCTCACAGCTCATGTTCTGTTTGTGCTAAGCTGTTAACTTTGGGAACCTTTAGTATGATGTCCAGGCATTAGTTGACAGTCTTTTGAAAATGATGCACAAATACAGCCGAGCTCAGCAGAGGTACTTTGCATTACATTACATATACTACATTAACAGTCCTCCACATTTCTCACCTCATTCCCCTTCGTGCCATTGATATATTTCTTCTCTTTCAGCTGCTGTAAGACACAAACTCACCGTCAGTGTTACTTGAACATAATGACAAAAACTAGTGAGGGTTTCATACCATATCTAAGTAAAACGTAGTTAACGTTCACTAGTAACAGAGAGCAGACGGTGAATGTTGTCTTACCAGGTGTCTGAACTCCACTGAGAGGCAGCCGTTAGAATAGTCCTCAATATCCATGACTTTAGTGTTGTTGGTCAGGATGAAAAACTGACGACTTCTGAGGAAAAAAACAAAAAAGCTTCCTGATTCACCAAATTTAATGCGGTCTCTGTTGATTAGATGGAAACAACCCATCGCAGGGAGAAGTGGAACAAGCTCACGAACGGTCATTTGAATTGTGAATTACAGTAAAACACAGCAAGCACACAGCGGTTACAAAAGACTACCGCAAAGTGAACTGAAATGAATGAAACTGAAAATATCTGGGTTTTAAAAATACTTCAACTACATTTAGAAGAAATATTATGTAATGTAAAGGTTAATTAAAGGTAACAAAGCGAGTTTAATTGAACATTTCCTGAAAAACTAATGTGCCATTTTGAAATGAAATAATTATGTGATGTTGCACATTGTTTGCAAGACTGTGTCTAGCATTAAAACACAAATATCTCCTGGTGCAGCTTGCTGTTCTCTCCTAGTGTTCTCATCTGTGCTAACATTAAATAGCAGCAACACTTTCTGTACTGAGGCTGTTTGTACTCACACTCTGCCAGGAGGGAGGTCTCTGCAGAAACACACAGACACACAGTTATTTATAAAGGTGTTACTGCGCAGACGGTGTTGCAAACAGATGTACTGTATAGATTTGTTTCTCAAAGGAAAAAAGATCATACTTGTCAAAAGTTGTTTTCACTTTCAGCTGATAATCCACTTCTGGAAGTTTAACCAGGAGTCTGTGAAAGGGGGAAAAAAACAATATAAATTACCAGTGACTACTACTGTTTGTGCTACAAATCAGGAAATGATTTCACGTCACACGATGCTACCTGACTTTGGTGGTGAACTGCACTCCAGTCTTGATGATGAGGGGCTTCTGAGGATGTGTGGGCATGCATGGCTGCTTCTCCACCACAAATGAACTGAGAACAAACCACACCTCATATGATTTACACGTTCATACCACTTGACAGCTCTTGCCTTCGAGAGAGCACTTAAACCACAGCCGGTCGTGCTCGTTGTGTATTTATCACTTTTCTGTATTGTGTAATGTGTTACCGGTACTACAGATGGAAGAGGAAGTCGCTGGTCATTACTCATGTACATATGAACGTTTCCTCAGCAGACTGTGGACAGTCTGCATACCTTCATAGACATGAGAAAGGCTCATGCTACACAGATTTGCAACTATAAACCCAACTTGAAAACTGGCTTAAAAATAAAATATTTTGGGGCGCCGCTATAGCTCTCCTGGTTGAGCTGGCGTCCTATGTGCAGGGCTACAGTCCCAATGTGGAGGTCATGAGTTCCAATCCTGCTCATGACCCTTTCCCACATGTCCTCCCCCCATTCTTCTCCTCTACTTTCCTGTCTCTCTCTCTCACTACACTATCCAATAAAGGCATAAAGGCCAAAAAAATAGCTTACAAAAATAAATAAATACAACATTTTCCCAAATCCAAAAGGCCCTAACACGCTATACCTGAGAAGTTAGAATGGAAAAACCTAATTAAAGTAGAATCACACAGAGTAACAATGCGTTGCGTTTCATTGTACCATCGTCATGTTACTGGTGTTGTGCTGTGTTGCGTTAGCACCTCTTGATGAGATGGTAGATGAGGTATTTAACTTGCTCTTCCATCTGAGGTTTCTGCAGAGGTATCGGGTCGCTCTCATAGGTGACCTTCACAACCAGCTCCCCCAGTTTGTCCAGCTGACGCTTGATCTGGAAGAGACTCTGTGCCGTCAGGGTGAACCTAAGGAGAGGGCCGATGAGGGAAACGGAGACTTTATGATCTGCAGATAATATATTTGCATAGCTGCTGTTGGGGAAGACCCGCACTGGAAATGACCCAATGTAATAACAAGAGCTCAGTCTGAAACAGCTGTAAAGGTAAATGTGAGGCTGATGTACTTGCTGGATGGGAAAATGGATTTTTGTTTGTCTACTAAATTATCAACTGAAGAGGGACTTTAAAGCAGCATTCATTCATATTTTTGCCCACATTGTGCCACAAAACTAGCATAATGAGCTAAAAGGTGCTAAAATCATGGAGCAGAGGGGAACTGCAGAGTCAGTATTCTTTGTGGGTTTGTTACTATCAGTGGTACATTTCACATTACACCTGATGAACTTTTATAAATCTAGAAATATCACAGCTCCAAGATCTCTGGTTCACGTCCCGGCCTGGGCCTGGGATCTTTGTATGTGGAGTTTGCATGTTCTCCCTGTGCAGCAAAGGTTCTCACCGGGTTCTCCGGCTTCCTCCCACAGTTTAAAGACATGCTGAGGTTAATTGGTGATTCTAAAAATGTCAGTAGGTTTGAGTGTGAGGTGGCTGTTTGTCCCTGTTTGTGTCCCTGCGATAGACTGGTGACCTGTCCAGGGTTTCCCCGGATTAATCGATGTACAGATAATGGATGGATGGATATATGGATGTGCTTTAACAACCTCACAGTGTGAGTAATTCAGTGTTTAAAGATCAGAGAGGGACTTTAATATTTAAATTTTCTGGATCTGTTGTACATGCATATGTCAACGCTCCCTATGTGTGTTGTGTTTATGAAATAAACTTAACTGGTGTCAAAGTAATTATTTCTAACTTTTGTTGAAGCTCATTACCAGCTCTGTAGCTGGTCCAGGCCAGTAAGCAGAGGCCCACCAATGGCAGCGATCTGCTGCCTGCGCTTCCAGTCCTGCAGCTCAGGGTTGAGCTGAGAAGTCGTCAGATCATCGATCTCTTTGATCACAACGTCCATCTTTGACAGAATCTCCTGTTAAGCGTGTGCAAAACAGTTGATGATGTTGAAGGTTTGTAATATTTCATTCATACAATACAATGACTTCTATTTTGTATCTGGACATATTTAACATCTGTCACATTTCAGAGCTTTGCACGTTGATACAAATACATACCTTCCTTTTAAAGTCGAGTCTGTTCAGCATTTCCTGTAGTTTTGTTACTTCTTGTTTCATGGTATCAGAGTTCCTGTCTGATGATTCTGGCACAGACAGACAAAACCTCAAATACAAACTTGCCATGTTGTTGTGTGTTGCAGGCTGTGCAGGCTTTGCACAGTCGTACAAAATAACACTTAGAAATTAGGAAATAAGAGGGGTTTTTTTTTCTCTTTACAGCCACTGAGCACAATTTATACCAGTATTCACCTCGAGACTGCAGCGTCTTGTAGCGGAAATCAAAGTCGTCCTGCATGTCCTCGATGTATTTCACGGCCTGATCCATCAACTACAAACACATTTTTAAAATTAATTCATGAAATGCAGTGCTGTCATTGTTTGGCTCTGACATAAAACGTGTTTCAGTTACCTGCACGCTGCCCCTGATGATCCCAACTCTGTTGTCCATGTTCTTCTGCCTCTCGAAGGCCACAGAATTCTGCAGCGATTTCTCCAGTGGACCCTGTTACAAATGTTTAGTCCGTTTTTGTTTTCATTCGTTTACTTTTTGAAAGATTTCTGCTTTTTAAATCTGCAATCTAGGCTTTGAGGTGAAATAGTCAGCACAAAGGACTTACATTACCAAAATACTAACTTCATGACAAGTCAGGGGGCTTCAGCCTCAGTGCACAACAAGAATGTCTACAATCTTCACTCCATCAGTGAGAACATTTCTGCCTGGAAGAACTACCTCCCTTTTTTCCTCCAAAAAACTTAGACTAGGTTTAAACCTGGAATAACAGAATTTTTAGCCACTTGGGGGCAGCAGAAGTTGTAAAACGACACCGTTATATAAAACAAAGGAAAATAAGTATTTCGCAGGTTATTTTTTGTCCTTATTTTTTGTAGTTTTCGCCCTATTTCAGGACGATGTCGCTCCTGCTCATCAGTGTCTGTCTTTCTCCCATCCTCTTACATGACAGGCAGAGTTATTATACATTTAAATGTAATAGTTTTTGTCATTTTTGTTTTCATTTTTAGATTGTTACTATTATTACTATAATTATTTTAAATCCTAAGGACTTCAGAAAAAATCAACTGGGCTTCTCTTTTTGGTCCTTGGAGATATTTCACCGCTTGGGGTCCAGTTGCTTTTTACTGAAGCACTTAGGATTATTTAGTAAGATTTTAATATGAGGGGTATTTGTCAGGGGCAACATTGAACAAGTTTATTAAAGGTATTACAATAAAAACAACCCTTTGTGAGGTCAGCTGACTCTGTCATGTGGACATGTAAGCCTGAAGGCCTTTTTTGTGTATTTTTGTTTCATTTTAACTATTTTTGATGACTGCACAATATTATTTAGACTCTTTTAATGTTTTTCTAAAGTCTAGTTTTTATTTTTACATCAGTTACTAAACTAAAAGAAAAAAAAAATTATTTTGTAGTTTCATTTTAGTAGAATAAAGTAGATCCTGGTGTGCACTATAATAGAACATTTTGTGTGGATTATATCTTAAAGGTGGCTCAAAAAAATGTTTTCTGTCATCGAGTGTAAATTTAGACATTTTTACAGTTTCAATACGTGATATATTTAAACATAATGTATTTAAAAGTATTTAACCACTGTGATAAAATTCAAACAATATCAGTGCTGAAGACCTGCTGTGCAGATGCTATAAAAACAACAGGTGGTCCAGTAATTATTTCCAAAGTTTTGGGCTTTCAGTGGGATATATTAAGTTGATACAGCAAACTTTTTAATGGCTACCACTTGGCAAATGTCTTCTTTTAGCCCCGTTTTAGTCTTTACTGACTCCTAGATAAATAAAACATCTGCTTCTTTCGCTGCTGATCATCTATACTTTGCTGCTAACTGTGTCCGTCTGCTGTTTTTTGCCAGACAGGTAGTGTACAGTGGGTTTAAGGCTCTATATCTGGTGCCTGAAAAGGACACAAGAAGACTGAACTAAAACATCAAAGTTAACGGGCGTATAAGAAAAACAAAATGAAAGTATTTTGCAGGCCAACTGTGATTCTCGGGAATACAGTGAAACGGTTGGGAAATAAACATCATACAATGCTGTGTTCCTGGTAGGGGCAATGATTTACCAGCAGCAACTGTAATTAAGGAAGCACAGGGACTTTCCCATCAAGACAGACGATGTGACAAACCTGTTCCTGCGTGCAGGCGCTGGAGAGAATACGTCGCTCTTCCCTCAGGCAGGTGGAGATAACTCTGGCCATGATGGCAGGGTTGGTCGTGTACTTCAGCTGAGAAGGGCCATAGATAAAAGAAAGAAAGAAGATAAGGGATACTTGCTTACTGATAGTCTTCAAATTGTTGCATATAAGTGAATGTAGACCATAAAAGCAGCCACACAGCATGGTTAAGTGCTTTAGCTTCCACAGTTTCTGTTTATGTTGGCAGGCAGACAAAGTACCTGCTGATGAGGAAACAGTGATCACAGAGAACTGGCACCATCGGTGTTCTCAGAGACTTAAACTTTTACTGGAAATGTTTAATTCAGCCACAGTGGAATGAGGTTTAACTGGACTCAGACGGACTGATGAAACAGTTAATGTGCTCTCGGATGGCTGGAGGACAGCCAGGAGCATAGCCTGTAACTATAACGTTTATTTAAATCTTGGAAAAAATCCCAAAGGCGTGATCCCCGTTTATAACAAATGAAGCGGCAATATAATGATTAAGTAAATCTCTGCTTAATTAAATAAGCTAGATTCCTTTTAAAAGTATGACAATCTATTCACTTTTCAGCCATAGTGTTAAAACCACGGACAGGTGAAGTGATTTACTGATCGTCTTGTTGCAGGGGGATGTTTTGACAGTGACCCTCCCCAATGACAGCAGCCTCCCCCTGCCACACCACAAAAACTGCTCAGAAACAGCTCAAGGAACACGACAAAGAGCCAACAAAGATACCAGTCCAGACACAGGGAGGCCCAACCCCGCAACCCAAAGGAGCCAACGTTGACACCCCAGTCCCAGACACCACAGTTCCAAGGTCATGCACCAACTGGTTGACGCTGTTTTAGCAGCGCTAGTAGGACCTACACAGTATCAGGCAAATCAATTCTACAGTTTCGACTAATCAGTACGTATTAAAACATACAGTGCATTTAATAGGTTGATACCTTTGGAGCATCACACTTGATCATGAATATAGCCAATTTTCAACCAATAAAAAGCCCATCCATCCATCATCTATACACTGCCTAATCCTAAAAGATTAAATGTGGATCGTTTTTTTCAGACTTTTTTTTTTTTTTTTTTTAAATGTAGTGGATCATGTTAAAGGGATACACCAGCCATTTATTAAGGCACTTCCAAGACTCTTGCTCAAAGCTCAAAGTTAGAAGCAATCCTGAATCGTGAAGTTTAACGTGTACTGACTGAATCCTACATTTCCCATCATGCAACCGTAGCATCTCTTCATTAGAACTTCCCTCCCCGCCAAACAGCCAGGTCTTTTTAATTCTTTGTTCTCATCATGTTCAAGGCTTTTGGTTATTCAAACCGGAGTGTTTTTTGGCATCATTTTGCATTCCATAAAATTATAGCATACTAACCTTTCAGTAGATTGCTATGTAAGTGGAAATCAGACTTCTGCACTGCCTTTTGGCTCCGTTTCTAGACATCAGCTAATCTTTTCCGTAGACTTCAGCTAATCACAGGGCTTCTGACACAGAGCAGGTGACACAGTGTAAGGCTAGTGTTGCTGGGGTCTGCATGACAGAAATGTAGCCCTCAACTCCCAAAGCGACTTTCTCAGACATCTGCATGCACTACAGAACATGCGCATACGACCTACTGCACATGCACGAAACAGAGTCCTCCAAGTGAACTGCAGCAGACTATAAAGTGGCATAATAACCACTCGTCTGCAGTGGGTTATCGAGGCTTAAAGAGCAACAGAGGCCAGACTGAGAGCAGGATGTGATGCCACAAACTTTCCCTCAGCCACGCTTCTGCCTCCACATCACCACATAATTCCCCGAAAGAAGGTTGTGCTATTTAGTTCATCGGCCCATTCAAAAGCCCACATAGAAAAGTACATAAAATGCTGCTGCAGGAAAAGGGATTTTTTTTTTCTTTCTGTGACCTTCCACTGTGACTAAGTTTTCATCAGCATCATTGCCAGAATGATGACTGAGGATGCATGAAAATACACCTACACACTCGCTTTCATGACAGTAACAATGATGCATTGGCAAGCATTAAACGGTCTGGTTTAGTTGTTTTGAGTATTTGCTAATAAGTAGGTCGCTCTTTGTGGTTGGGCTCCGCTAATCAGCTGGAATGTTCTCTGGAAACTGTCGATGTTTATCTCTGACTGCTGAGGTGTTGAAGCACATCACTGCTCTCCACTTTCTAACCAACGCTTTGGTGACATTTTCGGAAATGTGTCACAGAGATCAACGAAGGTCAAGTGCTCCAGAAGGGTTTTCCCCCCAAAATATTTTGCTTGAACATGACTGGAAGAAAGGTTTGAACATGGATACGGTTTGAGATCTCTCTTGTGTTATGTGAATCAATGAGGAGAACTTCACCCGCACATAACAACAAGCCACAAACCCGCTTGACAACTGCACGGGAGCAACTGCTTCCTTCCTTTTGAGAAGTGTTGATTTTGACACATAACATGCGCATTCAAACACACAGGAAACAGTGGTGTGAGCCTCACGGGTTTGTTCCGCAAAGGTATATGTCTTTTCCAGAATAAAAGATGTGCTGAGGCTTATGACGTGAGCCTGCTCTGACCTCAATCAAACATCCTGTAGAGATAGATTCTACATCCTATAGAGATGACCTCAAAAACTAATAATTTAGAGTATTTATAATTGCATCATTTGAGAAAGAATAGACCCACTTCAGTCTTATACATACAACTCTAATGGATTATATTTGCTTGAACACTTCATTTGACATCTGAGACAGAATAGTTTAAAAAAAAAAAGTACTCTGTTTGTACAGGCACAATAAACACAAAAATAGAACCCAGGTACACAAAACAATTCTTAGTTTGAGAGCATTATATTTACTTCCCTTTCACTTTGCGCACACACAAACACCATAGACTTCATGAAGCTACTTCTCCTTATTGTGGATCACACATGATGACACCACTATTTTTTCACTATGAAGTTGGCTGTAAGTGCACAGAAAGTGTCGAGCCATTTATGCAAAAAAAGGTTTAACATGTTTTATATTCTGACATGCTGTGATGCAGGATTGCAGATTTCTACAGAGAAGTATCTGTAAGCAAATAGTCAATCAGATGTAGAGAATCACAGGTTTGGGCATTAAGTTTGTGCATGTTGCTGTCGGGCTTTTGTCTTTGCTTCAAACCAAATTTAAAGCTTGTTAGTTATTATCTTTGGCTCTCATTTACTGTGCTGTCAGGACTTTGTGCTGTTGTATTTTGTGCTTTCAAGCAAAGCCTTATTCCTCGGTGTACGATCATGTAATATCTCTGGAGTTTTAAAACCATACCTGCATCTCATTCATGCGTTCAGACTAAAATTTCCAGTTTCCATTGTGATGATGCATGTCAACAAGAACACAGCATGTTTCAACACTTCCTTTGTTTACTCTTTGCTGCAGCTGTTTTTCTTGACACGCTGCTTTCCCGTATCACAGTGAAAATTGTGTGCGTCACTCAGCAAGTTCTCAAGGAGTGTATCAAATAATTAAAAGGACGATCAGCTTTAGTGTTTCTGGGTTATGCGTGTCTGATTTCCTCCAGTGGGACACTACGGCGATAGAATGCTGCAGAAACGAGGAAGTGAAGCAAGTGAGAGAGTTTCAAAGGTAGAACTGCAGCTTTGTGCAGATTCAAAGCTGGAAAACAACACGAAACAAAGCCCCTGTTGAAGATGGAGTTCTTAATATCGTATAAGTAGGACATGAAGGGGTGTAAGGAGGGAGCCCCACCTGCAGCTGCTGCTGTATAATTTTCATGTTGTGTCTTTGTAGGAAGTTCTGTTCCTGCGATCGAACCCTCTCCAGCTGGGTCAGCAGGTTGGTGAACAGCACGGCAGCCATCGACTCATCACTGACCGCTGTGTCCCTGAAACACACACAGCGGTCCAGAATTTAGGGGATTCCCAGCATGAGGATCACCACGATGATGGTTCTGGGCAATCTAGTAAATCCTAACAGCGGCACTAATGCAAAAATAGCCTGTATACTGGAGGGCAGAACACTTGCATACGAGCTACTTTTTCAAAAATGAATGCATTCCTTATTTATTCTCTACAGAAAGTAATAAATTACTCTATTCCCTATACTCTAGCACTATCTGAGACACATTGTCACATAATTGGCAGTTAAAAATCCAGAACTAAACTTTAGATGATCCCACGTATCAGCACACATCTCTGACTTAAGCCCTGATTTGCATGTTCAAGGGGACATTGGCAGTAGGCTATGCTGCCTCAAAATTAAAGTAGCTACTGTAACTGATCAGTAAGGATGATGTAATGATCAGTCTGACCAATTATAAGTACAAATATTCAGTAATTTTTCATTTATTGATATTGTTTATTTTTTTGTTTTTTTTTAATGATTGAGATCAAATAAGTTAATTCAACAATATGCTAATTTGACTCCGATGCAGCAACTTCTTTCTGTCTGTTGTCACTCATGCAATGTCCCGCCCACCACACTGTCTGATTGGTTACATGTCACAATTAAACACTGATGGATAAAATCTGAAAAGCTTTCTTTTGACTAAACATATGCAGAACATAAGAGAACAACAGCATTTTTAAAATACGTTGGAGATTTTAAAATTTTCATTTTTGTAACAAATGTACATCGGTTTCAAATATCTGTCGCACTGATAAGTATTAACCTGTACAGGTATCGGCCCTGAAACAAAACATATCAATCACCCTCTATTAGTATTTGGGATTCCTTGATTTAGGAAATATAATGACAAATATAAAGACAAATGCATTGTGATTAGAGAAATGCATTACTTTGTAATGTGTCGCCCCCAACACAATATAATGACAATATTTTATTGATCAAACTGGAAAACAAAGGAAAAATACTGAAACAGCTGCATGTTTTGATTTTTTTAAACACTTAGTAGTAGTAAAAAAAGCTAAAAACACACCAAACAACTCATTATCACCTTATATAGCAAGAAAATTCCTGGTTTTACGTCCAACAGAGCAGCATTCGGACACATTTACAGTCCTATTTTCTCTCCATTTAGCTAAAAACATGTGGCTTAGTGACTAAATGCTCACTAGTTGACAACTTTGTTTGTTTGCTGCTTGCTACGGGGCAGGTAGTGAAGTGACGTGTTCAATAAAAGGAAAGCAATCAATGACAGTAAAGTGTTGGCAGGAAAACAAAACAACAACAAATCTGTCTGTAGAACTTCAGATGGGGGTGGTATCGTTGCTTTGATCCAACGTAAATGACTGTTATAGATTTAAATCTAAACCCAACGCCAGCCTGGTGATGTAATTTTAAATAAAATTCGAATAAATGGTGAAGTTTTTGTGCTTTTGGACGTGTAGTTTCTTGAGTTCTTACAGATGTTTCCTCGTCAACAAATGATTTGACGCACATTCTTTAAGCGTTTCACCACATCTGCCCACTCGTCATGCCTCTGCACAAACATTTACATGACTCGTAGGAGGGTGTTTGAGATTCAACACATGCTTTTTTTTGTAACTTAAAGGGTCTGTTCACACAAACTGTAACAAAGATCTTCACACTCAGCATCTTTTTAAGCAGATGGTTCTAAATGTACTCTTTTCTTCATGCTTTGACATATCTTTTTCTCTCTGAAATGACTATGGCTTTTTTTCCTGTAATTTAAGTGAAGTGATATTTTAACTTTAAATGTGAAAGAGTTTATTTTTTTAAAATGTTCTTTAACTCTTCTTTTTCAGTTTTATATGTCTACCCCATAGCACATACACACACACTGAACAGGACTCACCAATCCTGGGACTCTATCCAGCCGGCCAGCCCCTGTCGGATGTCCATAGGGAAATTATCATCGTACAGATAGTCCACATGCTCCAGGAGTCTGATCTCCAGCTGCTGAATCTGCTTCCACTGGCTCATGCTGAGGTGTACAGATGCCACAGGACACACACCTGCTATCACCAAAGAGTGCTTCAAATGGAGAGAAAAGGACAAGGCAGCGTTTGTTTACTATCTGTAGTGACTCACACTTACTGTTAATCTCTTGTAATCATTTCTTTGAGAGATAAATGCTGCCTAAACTCATCTTTCTTACCTGAGATGTTTCTGCGCTGCTTTCCCGTCAGTCTGACTCAACATGTGCGCTTGTTTCCCTCTTTGACTTTCGTTTTTCAGTTGATGTGCCTCTCTGTTCAGGAAGTGGCCTCATTTGCTCTGTGGGGTTGTGCTCAGGTAGTCAGGAAACTCCTCCCCTCCATTCAGCCACGGCACTCACATTTCTTCTGGGTCTGATGTGACACAGATAACAATGATTGACTGGTTATTATGATGTGGCAAGAAGTGTGAGACAGTTGCCTGGAGGGCTGAAACTAAAGAAATGAGCAGATGCCCTGATGAAATCCTTGTAGTTTTTCTTTTGCTTTCTAAAATGCACATTTCTTTTATGTCATTCACATTTGACAAGGCTCGTATGCTAAAGCAATCTCTAATACCAATAATTCCATGTATATATAAAAGATTCATGTTGGGAGGAGCTGGAATTGGAGAGCCAGAAATAAAACTTTAAATCGACTATCAATAATATAAAGAAATTATGACATCATGAGGCATCTGCTTGAAGTCTAGTTGTTGGTGTAACCTTTAAAAACGCATCTCTATGTATCAAAGTCACATATGGAGAAGCTTTTTTCCATGTAAATAATTGCTGTCTGGCTCGAAATGTCTTTGGTCTCGCTCTCTATCGTCACACTCGCTTCAGCTCATCTGTTCAAAGACTGTAAAACTAAAAATAATGAAGAAAGAAAGAATAGAATAGAAATTCTATTCTATAGAAGATTCTATAGAATTCTGCGCTGTAGAATAGAATAGAATAGAATAGAATGCTTTTTTATTGAGCTCCCATTGGGGGCCACAGCAGAATCCAAAAATATAGAAAGTACAAGAAAATAAGTAAGGATTAAACACCGAGGAGCCGTGCATTATACAGTTTGAATGCACGCAGCGGAGTCTAAAACACCACGACGCAAAGCGGAGTTACTCCGCTACCCCCTAAAAAAAATCCTGCTCAAGTTAGGGTACCGATAAATGATTGACGAAAAATCAATTTGAAAAAAATCAGGCCTTAAGTAACTTATGAGGGGTCAAATCAGGGTTTTTTCATGATTCTGAGATGATTGTTAGCATTTATATTCCACCACGGACACTCCATTGTTGAAAAAGGCCACACTCACGTTTACATTTACATTCACAGTAGCTTTCATTTCACATACTTATATGACACTCAGAGCTATTTCTCATTCACACTGTCAGAAGCTTCAAGAGTCATTGTCTATGTCTTCTTCAGACTCAACAACATCATGACTGTAGTTTCTACATGTAATGCCTTTACAGACTCCACAGGCCCAGATGCACATTCACTGAGAGGTGTTTTGAGTCAAGCTATTTAATATCTTGCACTGTTAATAACGTACTTTTCTTTACATATAGTTTTACAGTTTTAACTGTACTTTGAGTGTAAATACTGAGGGCTACATGCATGTTCTCCCCCTTTGTCCCCTTTCTTGTTCTCTTGATTTATTTGAGTTCATTTATGTTCTGTTCTTCCTCTTTAATCAGTTTTAATAGTTAATTTTTTTCCGATCTGTTTTTTTTCTGTTGTTGTTTTGTTTTGTTTTGTTTATTAATTTTTTTAATTTCATGTTTTGCTTTAGTTTGTATTCTGTTTAGTTTTTCTATAGCTTACGCTTGTAAGAGAAGAATGCTGGTTTTGGATGCAGCTGAACTATTTTCTGACCTGTACATGGCCTGAAGCTAAAGCTGTTTGAGCCTGTATATGGGAAAACAGTCTGCAACATAGATTAAGAGAAAGTAATGGAGCTTATTGAAGAATGCTCAATAGTATTTATTAGGCTCATCTGATGATGGTCGTTGTGTAATTTATTGCAAAAATGGAAGCAAAGCAGAAGCCTCTGTTGGAAATCAATGCCATAGTTTGTGAAGTATTCGGCGTCTCTTACCGTCAGTGGTGAAAAGCAACTTTTACTCAGGTGCTAGACAGCTCTGAGGTGCTTTTGCTTGAACAGTTCTAGATTATTAGACTTAGTTTCAGAGGGAAAATATTCATTGCGCTCCTTTACTTGACCATCATACGTTACACCTTCACAACAAGCTTTAATGACGTTATTTTGCAGATAGTTTCTACATATAAAGTATATGACGGGGTTCTAAAAAATGCTGAAAACCATCCACAAGTAAATACAAAGTAAAATTTATAACTAAATGTGGTGAAAGTTACCTCCTTTTAATTTTGACCAACTGTAACATTAAAATGCTAATTTAATGTACATAGTTGCTGGTAATACTATTTGTGTAGCACTTTACTCTTTGAATATTTTTTAAAACACAGCCTGGTGGAGTTGATAAGTGGCCCTGAGGCAAAGCTGAACAAACAGGGCTCCATTAATGCTGTTTCTCCCCTCTAATTTAGGGATTATGCGGTGTGTAAGCACAGTATTAGTTGAATTAATTACTGTGTTTTTGTCACTTCTCACTGTTAGTAGTCCATCCTTTAAGTAAAGGATCTGCATACTCCTCCACCATTGGTTACTATGCAACGCTGATGTCACTGTGGAGTCAAGAAAACACGCCTGGTGTCCAATTAANCATAGATTAAGAGAAAGTAATGGAGCTTATTGAAGAATGCTCAATAGTATTTATTAGGCTCATCTGATGATGGTCGTTGTGTAATTTATTGCAAAAATGTAAGCAAAGCAGAAGCCTCTGTTGGAAATCAGTGCCATAGTTTGTGAAGTATTCGGCGTCTCTTACCGTCAGCGGTGAAAAGCAACTTTTACTCAGGTGCTGTACTCGCAGGAAGTACAGCTCTGAGGTACTTTTGCTTGAATAGTTCTAGATTATTAGACTCAGTTTCAGGGGAAAATATTCATTGCGCTCCTTCACTTGACCATCATACGTTACACCTTCACAGCAAGCGTTAATGACGTTATTTTGCAGATAGTTTCTACATATAAAGTATATGACAGGCTTGTAAAAACATGCTGAAAACCATCCACAAGTATATACAAAGTACAATGTCTAACTAAATGTAGTGAAAGTTACCTCCTTTTCATTTTGACCAACTGTAACATTAAAATGTTAATTTAATGTACATAGTTGCTGGTAATACTATTTGTGTAGCACTTAGCACTTTACTCTTTGAATATTTTTCAAAACACAGCCTGATGGAGTTGATAAGTGGCCCTGAGGCAAAGCTGAACAAACGGGGCTCTATTAATGCTGTTTCTGCCCTCTCTGGGCATTACAGGTTATCACTAGTTTGATGTGTGGTCATTTAATTCAAAGTAAATTAATTTAGGAATTGTGCGGTGTGTAAGCACAGTATTAGTTGAATTAATTACTGTGTTTTCGTCACTTTTCGCTGTTAGTCGTCCATCCTTTAAGTAAAGGATCTGCATACTCCTCCACCACTGGTTACTATGCAACGCTGATGTCACTGTGGAGTCAAGAAAACACCCCTGGTGTCCAATTAATAAACAGCTACTTAGGACTAACTATGTGACAAACCACAACAAATCAGTGGACGTGGATTTACTTGTGAAGCAGCCTAACCAGTTTATTTTATTTAACGCTGACATGAGTACTTTCAGGAGTATTTCAGTCATATTTTCTCATCAAGAACATGTAATGAACAAAACATAATCACAGCATGTAATATTTTATTACATTTCATCCATTATTTATAATGTAGGGGATTAAGTATTTGTTGTTCCAACGTATGGCATCTCTGCATTAGAATAAGCATCTTTAAAAAAAAAAAAAAAAAACAAAGATGCTGGAAATGATAATGGACACATGGAGAGTGGAGGCATAGACTAATTTCTAGGGGACAGGATCATGCTGTTGCAGCTGTCTGCAACCAGTTTTCAGACAAGAAATGCAGTGGCAACTCCATAGGGGAGCCAGAAATCTCTCTGGCCACCCCAGATCTGAGAGGTCAACTTCTTTCGCTGAAACTTCACTGTCTTTGGTACACTGTGAACTTGGTGTACTTTTCTTCACTTCAGACAGGTGAGCTGTCACACACAGTTTAACAGCTGCATTCAAATCATTTGTTCCACAGCTGAATGCAAAGATCCACCACAGCTGGATACTATCTTACTATGAAAGCTTGATCTCTTCAGTGAAGTCAGAATATTTTGTTGTCTACTTATTTAAATACTCTGGAGCATCTCTTCTCCTGGGCTATTCTGAATGGCCCAAAGAACCAAACTGTGAACTCTACCTATATCAGTCTATGTACACACATGGACAAAATTGTTGGTACCCCTCGGTTAATGAAAGAAAAATCCACAACGGTCACAGAAATAACTTGAATCTGACAAAAGTAATAAATAAAAAAATCAATGAAAATCAAGCAATGAAAATCAGACATTGATTTTGAACTGTGGTTTAACAATCAGGACAATGGAATAATTCAATTCAATATAATGCATGTATTGCCTAAATTCACCTCAATCAATACATATCACGTCAATTCAATTTAAATAAGTCACTGCAACTAAAATACTCCATCTACTACATGAATCTCTACATTGTACATCTATGACAGTCAAAGGAAAACTTTACCTTTGAGTAACTATTTACAAGCGCAAAGTTCATCTACAATTAAAATTCAATGAAAGATGAGTCAAGTATTCAAAGAGATGTCACGGCATCAAAGAACTCCTTATCTTCCACAGAGTGAATGACCTCCATGTGTACGTGCTCGGTGTCACCGTTGAGCAACCTGTCGATAAATAACTGTGTGAGATGTGTAACCCAGTGTTATTTTATTGTTACAACTTTTATTTTATTTTCATTTTCTAGTTGATGTGAGTCTTTTATGTACAATGAATGCATCACAGTGCCGCAGATGGCAGTTTTTCGCTAAGTATTGTTTTTTTTTTTTTCAAATTTACTGTGAATGCACCACAGCACTGCACAGAGAGAGAAAAAAACTTTCTTTCATCCTCTCTGAGAGTCGGATGAGGAAAGGATTCAGTAAAAAAAAAAAAACACAGTTTTATCACTGAAAATGTCCTTTTTGTAAGCTGTAAAGTGATATGGTTGAGTCCTGTGATGGGTTAAGCCCAGGAGAGTTGAATATTGTTGAAGAATATCCTGGTGAGTGTTAGATGCATGTTGTGAACCCGGTATAAGTTTAAAGTATTGATCACAGCTGATTCACGAAGCAGTTTTGATGATTGTGTATTGCAGTGACACTCCCGTCCAGCAGGCGGCGCTGAAGCCCGTCTGTATGACTGCAGGGGGACCGCGGGGGTCAGCGGTCAGAGGGGAAAGGTGACGCCGGCGAAAACATGGTCGAACACGGGGATATCCGCGTGGTTCACCGAGGTGGCAGTAAAATAGACTTCAGGGAGCCTGCCATCACCAATGATTCGAGGTTAGTGCATGTTTTCAGTCCGATAATGTTTAACGTAGGTTTGGAGAAGTTCTCGTTGGTTTTGCTGTTTTTATCAGCCAGAGAGCTAAAGCTAATGCTAGCCGTTAGCTTTAGCAATATAAGCCAGCAGCTAGCTGTTGATATGTTCTGCTGCTGTTTACAAACTAATGTCACCGGTTTCTTTTTTCTCTCTGCGACACTGTCGTTTTCTCAAATTAAATATAAATAATTACAGACAAGTACATAATAATTTCCTGGTATTTAAACGTACAAGTCCTAATACAAAGTGCACGGTTTAAGTCAGAGCTTAACCTGATAGTCTGCCTGTTTTTCAGTTATTTCAGAGTAAAATATATTTAAAATGTAAGACACGCGTCTCTCTGCACAGTAAAGTCATCACACTTTCGAAGCTCAGATCATTTCCACATTAATATCACAGTGATAAATGGACCAGTGGCTTTCTAACTGTGCTGTGAAGTTAGTTTAATTTATGATGATTTACAGCTAGAATCACGTGTAGTAAATTGTTTTTGAACTGCTGAGCTAGACCAGGGTTGTCAGTTTTAGCTACTTGTTTGAGCTACCATATCTGACAGGTTAATAATAGTCTGTGATCTGGGTCATTTAAATAGTCCAGGAGAAGAGGCTGGTGATGAAAACTACAAGGGCTAACTTTTCCTCCACCTCTTGCAGCCTCCTCTGTATCTTATTGCTTTTTTTTGCAGTCAAAGCCTGCCAGTGTTTCCTTTTTGAATTACTTATTGAACTGGTTTCCAGCAGCTTCCTACAATGACAAGCCCTGTGACCGATGGCTCTGTTGCACATAGTCATACACATTGCACAAGTGTGAAGTAGATCTGCTGAATGCTTAAATGATGTGCAAAGAACCCAAAATGTACAACACTTGAACTTTTGATGAAACAATGTCATCTCATTTCGGGAGGTTTAAAGCATAAGTGAAGTGTTAGATAGATGTGGGGCTATTTATGAACCTTTCAGAGCTCTAGCCTCAGCCGCCGCTGGTTTGTGTTGCTGCAGGTTCCTGCTGTGTGCCTCAGGAGAGTGTGTGAAGGTGTTCAGCACCTCCACGGAGGAGTGTATACATGACCTGCGGGGACACACCGACCTGGTGACAGGTGTGCTGCTCAGACCCTCCAACCATCTGCAGGTACAGTGTCTTTCTGCATTCATACAAAAAATTACTGCAACAAGCAACAACGAACAAGGGCTTTTTCATGCTGCTGAAGTACAACCACAGGAGTAGTGAACTTAAAGACGCAGCCTTTTCTTAACCATCGCCCAAAACTCATATAAAGTTTCTTATTATAAAGAGTAAAGCAAAAAAAAATCACAGAAGCTGAAGAATCCAGTGTCATACGCTTTTGTTTTATGAATAACTTAATATGTTTTAATTGTTATTGAAGAGTTCATTTGCAAAAACAGATAACTCCATCTTCACAAACCTTCAGAAAACCCACTTTTCCATCGTTTACCTGAGACAATATCAACCAAACTTAAGTTATCTCTGCTGTTGTCATGTCATTTCTGCTGAGTCAAATCCACTCAACGTCAGTTTGATTGATATTATCTCAAGCAAACAACAACAAAAAAAGTTTTCAAAAAATCTACAAAAATGGAGTTATCTGTTTTTGCAAATGAACTCTTCTATTGTTCAATTATACATTTGTCAGTAATTTGACTAACTAGTAACTAATTACTAACAAATTGCAGTGATCCATCTGTGCCTGAACACTAACTTAGCAGCACTCATACTATAGATTTGATGTTTTGGAAAAATCTGCTTTTCGTGTTTCAAAGACTCAAGTATGTCTTTTGTACAATTAATCTAATGTACTTATTTTGTCATCTAAGTTTGTCCTGTTTTATTTTAACATTTGCACATACAATTTTTAGATGGGGTGTCACAGCCCAATATTTGTTTTAAGTGTGATGTGTTTAACTGAACTTTTTCCTGCCAGTTCACTATTTCCACACAGAAAGAAAGCACTGTTCCCTGTTATTGTGATAAGTAACTGTGCTGTAGTACATTAAAGAAGACAGTTCAGTTATAAGCTGTAACTACTATAAATAAAATGTAAATGAGTTAAAGATTCGTTTTGTTGGGATATTCTACATATTCATAAATGCCACATATTGAAGTTGTCACATATTTTACTTCCTGTGGTGATGTGCTCCTACTGCGTTGTAGGTCTACTCCTGCTCAGTAGATGGCACTGTCAGACTTTGGGACTTCACAGATGGCATTCTTATCAAGGTAAGACCTGATTCCTGCTGTTTCTCTTCAGTCTTTGCAGTTACCGTGGGTCATCCCACCCCAGCTTGCACACATTCGCCTTGTCTACTTGTTCTCTGTTTGTGTGTACCATGGAGGTTCCTCCATATGAAAGGCTTTGCCGAAAAACTTAGCCTGAACCGGAAGTGGATGACGACAGCTAGTCTGCAGACATGTCCATTTTCACTCTACTACCAACCAACAGCACATAATGAAGGAAACATACATCTTTCAGCTTTACCACCAATGTTTTGGTTACAGATAAGAAACTACTGCCGTGCTTTCATGCTGCTGTCTTCCCATAGGAGGTTTTGTGTGGAATAAATTTTACTTTGACTACTTTTAACTTGTACACACATCAGTTGGTTTGTAATGAACCTTTATGTGTTTTTATTTTAATTTTTTTTAAGCAAATGTTGACTGTTTCTGGAGCATTGTGCCCTTAAACTATCTACATACTGTCAGTTAATTTAACATAACAGCGCTTGTGTCACACTTCACCTGTACATTTATACGCTTTTCATTAGTTTGGAGAGCCATGCATGGTTCTGTGTGTGACATGCTAGCAAAGGACAAAATTCACAATCCTTCATCTTGGTTGAATTGCTTTTTTTTTTTTTTTTGCATTTCTTCCCAAAGGATGCAATGCACATCAAATAACACCATGTGACTTGGCTTTTCCAACATGCAAGTTGCAAGTCTGTACAATGGTGTCTATGAAAAAACAGTCTTGAATTTGCATCAAATTTAATCATATTTAAACCTGCACACAGCTCTGTGTCCATCTCCACACCTGTTACACCTGCACATGAACTGGTCATTGCATACCTAAACAATGATAGGCTTTATGTGAAATCTTCAGGAAATAAAACAATGACATTCATTTTCGTTACGCATATATTTTTCCAAATTTTTTAGTCAATCAGTAGTCTACCATCAAGAGACTGTCTCACGTTAACAATTATGAAACGATAAGTCTACTGTCAGCATGTCTTTTGCACACTTCTGTTTTAGTTGTTTTGTTGCACATCACTATTTGCACCACACTCCACACAGGACGTTTCTTTACATATTACACTTATTGTACATTTAGCATTTTACATTTTGTTACTGTTTATTTTTGCCTATTCATCAGTATTTATGGTGATGGTAGCTCTGTCTTGTGCTGTATCAACCAAACCATTAATAAAGTCTATCTATCTATCTATCTATCTATCTATCTATCTATCTATCTATCTATCTATCTATCTATCTATCTTACAACATGTTTTTTCCTTCCTATAAAGTCTAATTCAAGAACTCTGCAAGCATTATCATATGATGGAGGAACTTAACAGCCTGGACTGTTTGTTTTGCGCGCAGGACATGGCTAGCACCTGTAATGCCAAAGATGAGAACTTAAAAGTGAAGCAAGTAAAATTACCCTAAGAATAGCTGAGGGCTCACAGGGTTAAGAAAGAACCCATGTTGTGTTTTCTCAGGCATGTGTTTGACAGCTTGATCTCTTCCAGACTTATGTCATCGGATGTCCTATTTACTCCATCTACGCATCTGCAGACCATGAAGGAGTCATCTTTATCGTTATCCCCATGCTTAGTGACAAAAGATCTGGTAGGTTTGACATCTGTTCTAACTGTGATCATTGGATTCATGCATAAGCTTTAGATACACTGTGGGCTTCAGCAAAAAGAAAAAAAATATGTGGGTATTTGAATGTGTTTAGTCTGAATCCAAAACCAGGATAGCTGGCGTGCTCGCTGTCTTTACAAAACTTTCCACCATTGCTTACTGCAGCTTTATATTCAAATGAAAAGCGTTGGTTTTATGGTTTTTTATGGCAATAAATGAAAAGTTCAGAATAAATGTCACTGAACTAGTCGGTCTGAGACATTTTAGATGCGTTAAATCCTGTGGGAAATGATAATTTGGCATTTGGAAAACAATTTAAATGAGACAGTTGTGCTAACATTCAACACTGTTGGTGTGAGCCTTTTTCATTCCTGTGCCTCCAGGACAGAGGTGTACTTTTGTTGATACAATGAGCAGTCTCTGGATAAACACAATTTCAGAGCATTCATCTGGGCGCTTGAAAATGTGGGAGTAAGAAACTGGGTTAGAGGTCACTGAGTATTAATGTGTAACAGACTGATGCTTGACCCAGTGTGTGTGCATGTGTATGTGCAGAGTTGTTCCAGCTGGCTGCCGTGTCTCTGCCACAGAGTGGAGATCAGCTGGTGGAGGCCCGAGAACTTTCTGCTGTGCTCAGCAATGTCAGCTCCAACCCAGCAGCCATCGCCTTTGGTCGAGGGGTACGTACACCGCCGCTATTTTCACAAACAGTCCCTCCGTGAAATCCCTAGCTTAGTCTGGTAGGAATATTGACTCAAGACTTTTCCTACTGTGCCAAATCAAAAATGTCCAGAAGACAATGTTTTCTGCTGTGAGAGCTGACTATAGCTTCACTTCCAATTGTATCTGTTGTCACAAACCCCTATAAAACCTAAAGGGAACATGAATTGAGTGACTACACCTTGTTAAATGAATGTGTTATATCACAGTATGGTTCCAGAGTATACTTCCATTTGTTTGGTAGATGCTGCACTTCAGATTGACACACAGCTAACCCACTGTTACTGTCTTCACAGGGGGAATATATAGCTTCAGCTAAAGGTTTGCAGTTGGAAGTCTTCTTCTTCAAGAAGCAGAAGTCATACAAGTAAGCCAGTGCATCAGTTACTGAGTGTGGAGATGGAAATTAAAGCTGGTATCCACAATTCTGGAAAAAATTTGCTGTTGCTCAGATAATTAGCGCGTCCAAGACTTACCGTTACAGTTGCTCCAATTGCCAGTCTCCTATACTCCAAGCCCTTTTAGCATTTAATAGCTACATTTGACTGTCTGGAATTAGCATTATGGATATCAACAACATGCTTGTGACAAGTGAAAAATTCAATTTTGACAGTCTGAGATATCTGTAACTAGGTTTTGACTAGTCAAAATTGAGTTACAGATATCTGCAATGACCTCAAGAAAACTGTCCTTCGCTTTGTCACACATCCTAAATGCCACTTGCAGATATCTGTAATTCAGTTTTAACTAGTCGAAACTGAGTTAGACTAGGCAAAATTGTGTTGATGACTATGCTCATGCGAGGCTTCCCATTGGATATTGACCCAAATGAACTGGAGGAGAAAAGAGGAAACATAATTTTATCAGTTTCTTAGCAGAAGGAATAGCAGTTGTGGTCATCGATAAGATAGCTAGAAAATGCCATGAAATAGAACGGTAGGACATGATTCAAAAACCACATTTCCATGATTTCCATGAACCCAAAACAGCCGCTAATAGTTTCCGTACAGTCGAATGAATGCCGGGGAGTCTCCCGGGGACACCATGGGAGGAGTGCTGCGGCTTTTAGCGAAGTTTTATTAGGAAATGAATAAATCCTGGTGCGGGTCCGGAGGAGATCCACTACTCAAATGGCAGGGAACGGAAGATAACAGAGCTGAGGGAGCAGGTAGCTACCTGTCATAACTTCTGCCATAATTACAGATATCTGCAACATCAATTCGCCTCGTCGAAACTCTGTTTCAACATATCTGCAATTTCATTTTGACTAGTCATATTAAAAGTTAGAGATATATTGAATTAGAAATCACAATTCATTTAAAGATATCTAGAACTTGATAACAGATATCTGCAAATTATGGCTATCCAGAAATCTAGTTTTAGATATCTACAGTTTCATACTGACTATACATAATTCCAGTTCAAGATATCTATAACGTCATTTTGATTAGTAAAAACGAAGTTAAAGATATCTACAAATGCCATCATAGATATCTTTATTCATCTATTCATCTTTATTTATCTTTTTTGAATTTCCCTTCTGGGATAAATAAAGTATTTTTCATTTCATTTAATGGAGGGGAGTTGAAGATATCTTGATTTGATTTGATTCTGACTAGTCAGAGTGAAACTGTAGATATGTCAAAATGGCTTTACAGATAGTCATAATTTAGTTGCAGATATCCACATCTCACATTACTGATATCCATGACTGAATTAAAAGTATCTGTAATGAGAAACCCCATAGACATAAATGGGGAAAGTGATGTGATTCGTCCAAGGAGGAATTAAGGTGTTGATATCTGAAATCACAATTGTGGATAAGAATAGTGTCATTGTGGATATCTGAAATGTTCATTGTGACTAGTCAGAATGAAACTGTAGATATCTCATTATATATCCAGACTAGCTATTAAATGTTAAGAGGGCTTGCCATAGTCATCCTGTCCAGTGCACAAGCTCAAATGTGTTGTGTGAATCAGTCCATGCCACTTCATTTGGACAAAGCCCCGTAAATTGTAAACAATCACCAGAATTCTTTCAATGCACACCCAATGTGACCAAAAGTCTTACTATTCTTGACTCTACCTTTAAATAAATGACATTTTGTTTCAGAGGTCAAACCAAAACTTTTAATTGCTTTCAGGCACAAATCTAAAGAAAACACAACTTGTTTTTGTGGCATTTGTGCATTATTGACCACAAATTGTTACAGAGCGCAGCAGTGAGTTTGTACCCTGAAATCCCTATTTTCCCACAAAACCGTGAGGATGCTCAATAACTCCAAACACCTGTCCCTGTGTGGGTTGCTAGGTTTTTCCTTAAAGAGGACAACAAGAAGGGAGGCCTGAACACATTCACGTGCGTTGCCTGTCACCCGAAAAATGACTGCATTGCCACGGGACATGAAGATGGCAAGATTCGCCTGTGGTGAGTGACCTTTGAGCGTACACTTTCACACACAGCATGTTGATAGTTTTGCACAGTTATTTCGTCTGCTGCTCACTTGTTTTGAGTGTATTTTGCTGATAGCTGAAGCAGTGAACTCCACTCCCCTAGCATGATGTGAAAGAAACTTCTTGGTCCAGTTAATTATTGTTCTGTTAGCCTGATTGATTTGATTTTGCCTTTCAGTATTTTATTTTAATATTTCTAGCAATAAATCCTGTTTCTCTAACATCGCTGTTCATCTGCTCAGGAGAAACTTTAACCAACAGAAGGAGTACACATACTCCACCCTGCACTGGCACCACAACGCTGTGAGCTCACTGCGCTTCACTCCAGAAGGTACTTGTGTATTAATTACATGTATTTATTTAACCTAGTAGTTTATTACCAAAGGGAAATCTAATCTGTTTCCCGCAGTATGCTGAATGTCTTCTCGTTTTGTTAAGACTTGTTTTTATTGGGCCTTCACCAGAACAAAGACAAAAAGCCTCCCTGCCTCTTTATCTAAGTCTGCTGTTGTTTCCTCAGGCACCAACCTGCTGAGTGGAGGTGTGGAGTCTGTGCTTGTCCAATGGCGATACAACCAAGAGAGTCAGCGGGACTTCCTGCCCCGCCTGGGTGCCGCAATCACACACATTGCTGTCTCACCTGATGGAGCGCTGTTCTGTACCTCACACAGTGACAACAGTAAGAGGCTGTAAACTGTATCCCCCACTCTGATGAAACACAATGATTCTAATTGTGTTAACAGTGGAACCGGTTACGTATATAATCTTTATTGGCGTCAGAATGTAACTGCTGTCGTGAAACTTCAGCTGAAGACTTCTGTACGTCACTCATTTATCAGCTCATTTTGTAGAAAGGTGCTCACTTGTCCTTGAGTGACAGCGATGGATAATGTTTATTGCAGTAATAACTGAAGCAGTCAAATGTGCATGTAGGTTTTCTTCAGAAAGTTCTTGGTGACGGAAGACCGCGATAACTGACTTTTGTGTCTTGTCGTTTAGAGATCACAATCATCCAGAGCTGTGTTAAAGTGTCAGCTGTCCTTCAAGGCCTGGTCAAAGGTGAGTACAGACTGTAGGTGGCAACAGCACGTACAGTGATCATTAACACACTGTATGGGCTCATAAATACCATAAATGACAGTTATTGGAGAACAATCCTGCGGAAAAAGAATGAAGGATCTTGATGAGAGAAGAAGCCTTAAATTCCCCAAACTGTGTTTTCAGCTTAATTAATTAAACTAGTCACCTAAGTTCTTATGTTACTCATGTAGAAAATAATGAAATATTTTGGTTGCAATGAAGTAAAGTTGAATTTGCACCATCAAAGTGCTGTTTAATGGCTTTCACAAAGGAAGGTAATGAAATAACCTCCTAGTGTTTCCTTTTATACCAGCTGCATCAACAAGGTCCTACCTACCATGAGTGACAGCTTTACTCAAATACAAAGGACTTACCACTGTTACCTTTACTGTGTTGTCAGAATTACCTTTTTAGCGAGTCATACTTACAAAAATGCCATACTTTTGTGTTATATGTTGTAGTTTCTTTTCAGTGTCTGAGCAGATTGACTCAGGAGAAAAGAGTGTATACTTTAGACGGCATGAACAAAGAAGATTTGAACCTGTCGGGTTTCTCTGCATGTGTTCTCTTTCTGTCGGGCTGCAGGAGAAAGTGTCCGGACAGACTTGATGGTGGACCCACGCAGCAAAGCTTTGGTGCTGAATGGGAAACCAGGACACCTGCAGTTTTACTCCCTCCAAAGAGACAAACTGCTGTACAATGTAAGCACTCTGCTTTCGTGGCTGAGCTAAAAGATGTCACACATAATTACCCTTTCATTGACACATGCATTTGTTATCCCTGAGTTCAACCCTGAATAAAGAATGAGCTCACTTAATAGATAAACTCTAAGGTCTGTCGTCTTTATGTTCCCCACAGCTGGACATAGTGCAGCAGGAGTACATTCATGAATTGGGCCTGGAACAGTTTGAGGTTGTCAAAGCAGCATTTGATGCCTCTGGCACCTGGCTAGCCACAGTGGAAGAAAGAAAACAAAAATCTGCTGAGCTGGAGATTAACTTAAAACTGTGGGCATTCGATGAACAAACCCAGAGGTATGGACGTCTCCGCTGTAACTGCTTTTCTCTTAAGACTCTCTTTCTGAACAGTCAAGTGAAGACGCAGACAGGAAGCGTAGGGAAAGGGAAGGGGAAGGGGGATCGAACATGCAACACAGGACTCCGGATGTAATCAGACTTTGGCTATGTGGTATTTGCTGTAACCGTTTAGCTACTCAGACAGTCAGTAATGTCCAGTAGAGTTTTTTTAATAGAAAGGAAATAGTTCTGTAATTTTTTTCCCTCTTTGTCCCTAACCCCATTTGATGCAGTTTTGTGCTGAACACGACCATCTCAGCCCCCCACGAGGCCAGGATTACAGCCATGTGCTTTCGCCAAGCCACTGACAGCCAGACCACCATGCTGGTCTCCACCAGCACGGACGGACATTTCAAAGCCTGGCAGCTGGTCGCACCAGCCCACACAGAGGGTGAGCAGTCTAGCTTAGTGTCTGATGTTCTAGTCCTCCAAAAGGCCGAGCAGTTCAAGTGTGATGATGTTAACCGTACTCTTTTGTTTTAGGCGTCTATTTATCCACCTGTGTCCAATTTGCTGTTCAAGAATTATGTTGTCATATCTATGCATAGATGTGTGAGCTGCCCTCATTATAGCTTATAACTGTCTGTAACCCTCTGAACCCCAAGTAAGTGTTTTTTTGCTGCTGTCACATAAAGTCCTGCACCTACACAGAAAAAGCACTCAATGTTTTACGTAGTAACCCTAACATATGCTATAAATCATAAAAAAAGTTGTATTTCTTCTGGCTCTACATACTATAGATATTTTACTACTCGTGTTGTTAAAATTTCTTTCCATGCTGCAGTTCAGCCTAGTTCAGCTGAAAAATCCCTAATTTTTTCTCATGTTATTGTTGGTCACATGTAAGTGAATCACGGCTTTGTGGTTGTGCTGAGGAGCATATTTTATTTTTTGTAGAATCTGGTTTTTGCAAATGGTTCATTTGATGAAAAAAATGAAGTGATTTTGGTGACACATCACAATATTCAGCTTAGATTTGTATAATTCTTTCCACAGAACAGCGCATCAGACATTAGTTTCAGTACTGTCAGAAGGTTAAAAATGCAACTATTCTTTCCGTGTTTTTCATTCTTTTCTTTTTTTTCTTTTAATTTTGGCAATTTTATTAATGTGTTCAATTGTTTATTATTTCAAATATTACATGCCTTTCACATGTTTTGGTGGGTCTTGGGGTTCAAAAAGTAAAACAAATATCTGAGCAAGGAGTTGTAAGATAGCAGTATCCGGTTCTTTTTGATCATATGTAGTTATCAGGCAAAACAGACTAAAGTACTTTTTGGTAATTGAACATCTTTACTGCATATGATAGTGTCCTACAATCATTGCAATGGAATGGGTTCTTTTATTCAGAGTGCATGATTTTACACATTTGTAGTCTGGGGACATCAGTAGGAAGCAAGTCGCTTGTTGGTGCCAGGCTGTTAACTTTTCAGCACATCAGACTGAATGACTGGTTTTAGCCAAATTAGGCAGTATTTCTCAGTAATCCTGCTCTCCTTGTGTCTGTCTCCTGCTCTCTTTTCTCTCGAATGTGCTGGCAGACGAAGGTCCCTCCTGGTCGTGTGATTTTGTCGGAACCTATCGCGGCCTGGTGCCTAAATGCTGCTGTTTCTCAGCCGACAGCTCCCTGTTGGCCGTCAGCTTTCAGGAGGTGGTGACTGTGTGGAGCCCTACCTCCTGGGAGCTTCTGACAACTCTGTCCCAGCCACCAGGAGCCATCAGGTCAGAGCATACTTGCACATAAACGCCCTGCACAGTCAGCAGTGCTGGTACTGTTGACCTGATTATGTTTGCAGCATTGTTAGGTATCGAAAACGAACCCTGAATGCTTGGTCAGATGATTTATACTGAAGTTTAATTATCCATTTTCCTGTTAGGCTGTTTCACAAGTTTTACTATTGTACAGAAAGTTGGAAGCTTATTTACTTAAAAAAGCTGGGGTGTAATAGTAATGTTTTAGTATGGGTACTGAAATGCAATATTTTCACAAACATTGTGACTTAAAAATCTGTAGACCTAAATACACAGAAATATATATACAGAGGCATAGAAATTGTCTCTGTAAACAAGTAGCTATTGTAATAACAAACGCAGACCAACAGAGTTAATACAGAGACATCACAGTTTCACAGTCTGCTAAAACAATCAGGACTGGATAGAACATGTTATTCTTGTTTTGGTGCTCCTGCTGTACTTTTTTTTTTGCCCTTTTTGTAAGCAGAGACACGTCACGACTCACATTCAGAACAAAAAGACTGACAAGTGGCACTTAAAGCACACAGACTCACTACATTTAGTTGGTTTAGATTTTATTTTTTGTTTTGCTGTTGAGGTGCGTCACTGATGTGTGCTTTTGACCCTTTTTGGCAAAAGTGCAGAGTGTTGTTTCTCACCACAGACGGAATGTAACCGCCTGAGCAAGAGAAGGGCTGCCTGTCAGCTAGTAGATCAGTTGAACAGGCTGCAGTTTCGCAATGTTGCTGGAGTCTCAGAAATGTTGGCTGATGTCCCTTCTGCTCACAAAGGGGGCCCTCGGGTCACTGAGGACGCGGAACTACTGTTGCTAGTTTCTGTACCACTTTTTTGAAATAATTCCAAAACACTGAATCAGCTTTTATCATATTCGCAAGAAAAACAATAAGATGGTGACTTGCATAATGTCTGAAAATATAGGAACCAGATCAGGTGGACACTTAAGTGTTGAGAAACTTTTAAAAGGTGGCAGTTCACAAGACTAGAAAATATCTCCTGGTAATTATTGGAAATGGGTATTTGTTTGTGTTACCTCTTACATTTGAAAGGAACGTTTTTCTGTGTAATTTGGGCGCTGAATCGGAATTCTCGACTAGTACGACTTCAGAGTTGAAGGAGGGAAACTGGAAGACATCAATGGTGAGCTGTTTTGACAGCTGCCTGGTGCCACTTACGTAACTACCACCTATAGATGTGGAGAGCTCGGCCAATTGCTTGACCTTAACCTCACTATCTCTGGACGCTTTCTTTTTTTTAAATTAAGAAATATATTTGCCATTTTTTCATAGGAATGTCAGACATTTACTTTAAATGATATTTGGGGATCTGAGTGTTCCACATTTATTGATTTCTTTGGGTGTTTGGTTCTTGGTGGGTGTTCAACCCTGCGCTTGCATTTTACTATGTGAAACCCCCCAAAGCAGAAAACTTCACAAAAGATAATCCTGTGAAATATGTGTGGTGTGAGGAGCTGGTTGGTTGAGGGGGGACTTGAGATTCTTTACAGTCACAGGAAAATAATAGAGACTTTTTTTTTTTCTCCCCCTTCATTAGGGATCTTTGTTTTGGTCGACTAAGCTGTTCCAAGTATCTGCTGGGGTTCACCACCAAGGATCTACTTTGCTGTTGGAACCTCCTTACCTGCTCCTGTAAGACAACTTCTGTACATGTCAAATGTATAGCGGCTGCTGCATGCAGTCAGAGCCATAAGTATTTGAAACAGTTTTCATAATTTTGCACCCGAACACCACCACCGTGGATTTGAAAGTCATTCTATACGTACTGTAGTCCCTCCATTTTCACAGGCCTAATAGTGATTGAATGGCTGACTGATATGCAATCTCATGTCTAGGTGTGACCTGTTTCCTCACTATTTCATGACAAGTTAATGAGATAAAAGGTCAGGGTTGTATTCCAAATGTTAAATTTGCATTTGGTGTTCATGGGAACTTGCAGTATGTGGTCCAAATAGGTGTCGATGAAAATGAAGGATGCTGAAAAACCAAAACAGACCTATCAGGGAGATAGCAGAAATTCTTGGATCATCACTCAGCAACACCAAAAGACAACTGAAGTGGGTGGTTGCAGAAATCTTATGTAAAGAAGAACCCCTTCACAGCATCTGTCCAAGTCAAGAACGTGTCATTGTCAAAGTCTATCAAGTCATGTCCCCATGAATGTAAATACAGACAGTTTACCTCAAGATGCAGACCACTGGTGACACTCAAAAACAGAAAGGACAGATTAGAAAAAAAAAAACTAGCCACTTCTTGGAGCAAGAGTTTTCAGACAGATGAAACCTAGATTAACTTGGAGCAGAATGATTCTTTTCCAGAAGAGTCTGGAGAAGGAAAAAACAAAGACCACATCATCTGCCAAACATGTTGGAGGAAGTGCTTCAGCATGGTTGCCAACAGAACTGGGTCACTGCTGTTTATTAACTGCCGATTAAAGTAGCAGAATGAATTGTAAAATGTATACAGCTCCGCTTTCTATTCAGATTCAGTCAGCTGCTGCAAATTGACAGGAAGGCACTTCTTTAGTACAGGGGGGTAATGACCCAAAACTTAATGCGAGGGCAACCCAAGAGCTTCTGAAGGCAAAGAATGTTCCTAAATGGCAGTCACTTAATGTCAAACCCACTGAGCTACTTTGTACTTACGGAAGACAAAACTGAGGGAGGACATATCCACAAACAAGCAGCAGCTGAAAGCAAAGCGTCTCACATTTATGGGTTCCAGATGTCAGGCAGTCATTGGCAGCACTGGATTAGCTTCTTAGTATTAAAAATAAGTTTATGATTATGAGGTTGTCAAATTACTGTTGGGCCTGTGAAAAAAACTGGCTGTATTCCCGTCACTGTTCAATATAATGTTTTAGTTGAAGCCTTTGAATTAAAGCTGAACAAGCACACTTCAGTCTCGAATTGATCGCTTCATTTCTAACCCACTGTGATGTACAGAAGCAAAGTTAGAATTAGTTACTGTCCAAATACCAACATTTAACTCTAATTTTCTCTTTTCTTCTTTCATCTCCAGTGGAGTGGAGCACCTCCATGGACATCAGCCTGCTGCTGGCTGACCCCCTCTCTGAGAACATGGCTGCCTTCTGCTGCCAAGCTGGATGCACAGACTGTAAGCTTTACACCGGGTGCCCAAATTTGATTTAAATCCCACCTAAAAGCACAATTGAAAAACAATATTTGCAATCAGTTTTTAAAAAATATGACCTGAGTGGTACTTCACAGTCAGTCCTCCAGTCCTACAGGTCAGATTTGAGAAAGAACTCTCGTCTGCTTTGACCTGTATATTGTTTTTACTGGAGTGTTTTACTGATAGCCTCATGAATGCAGTGCTTTAACTCCATAAGATAAACCATATAGGAATGTTTTCTCAAGACAAAAAGTCAACGGTCGTGCTAGTGGCTCAGCTTCAACAAGCGTGCAAGCTAATGATGATGCTAATAGGTTGATGGTAAGCAGGTTCTACGTACAACCTCACACTTTAATGTGTTAGCATGCTAGCAGTTGCTAATTTGCACGGATGGGAATGTCATTAGCTGTTGAAGTCATGAATCAAACTATTGGGCAAATTAAAATTTTTGACCTGATAGTTAGTGATGCACAATATTAAAATTTCTGGCCGATATCGATGTCCGATATTGAGATTTCTGATATCATCGAAAACCGATATTACTGATGTCGATATTCAATTTTTGTTCTCACCAAAAAATGCGTATAGGTAAGCACTGTGAGAACGTGAAAACTATTCAAAAGAAGCCCATACCAAATTAGACTGCATAGCTTCTATATTACGTAACAAAAGTGAAACATATTTAACGTTCAAGTCCAGGACCCATCCATCCATCCATTTTCTATACACCGCTTAATCCTCACTAGGGTCGCGGGGGGGCTGGAGCCTATCCCAGCCGACTTAGGGCGAAGGCAGGGAAGTCCAGGACCATTTAAGTAAAAACATCTGTGAAATAGCAGCAACATCAAATGTAGAGACGAAGGCACTGATGTTAGACAGTCATTGGTTTTTCACATCGGCTGAATTTGTTCATCGGACCGATACTAACATATGGGAAAAAACACTTAATATTGGCCGATACTGATGTGGTCGCTGATATATCGTGCATCCCTACTGATAGTGAATCTCGATGAAACGTCCAGGAGTCGCCAAAGCTGTTAAAGTTTGTCCTGCAGATAACATTCATGACAACAATCAGTATAATAGTTGTTGAGACAGATTCAAGTGGTGGACTGACATACACTGCTGTCCCTAGAGCTAAAAATACAAATGTTTTTCCCAAGTACTGAATGCCTCTCCAAACTGATTTGGAGCCAGCATACAGCTGCTGCTTGTTGACAAAATTAAAAGTTGTTCTGTATAAGTTATCTATAAACATAAACAAGCCCCTTCTAGTGGAAAAAATCTTGAATGACTACAGTTATTAAATTGTGGCTCCTCTTTGGCCTCTGTCACTGCGTCATCTGTCACTTCCTTATCTGAAGCACAAAAATCAATGTTAGTGATTTTTTTTAAACGGTTTTCTATCTTGTCTGCTTTCAGTGTTTGTGTTCAAGCCCAGCGAGCCTCGGCCATTGTTTTCCCAGAAGGCCGTGTGCTCAGGCACTGTGACTCGCGCTGTGTTCGCCCCGAGGGAGAAGATGTTGGAGAGCTGCGAAGAGAGCAGCCAGTGGCTGAACCGCTCTCAGCTTCACTTTCTCACACAGCACATGGTAAACACCACCGTCAAGAAGCCCCTTAATGACATATATCTTGTGTTTAATTGACAACAAAGAATAGTAATGTTCTAAATAAGGTGTTGGGCCAATACGTGCCATCAGAACAGCTTCAGCGAAGAACAAAATTCTTCCCTAAGATATTTCCTCATTTGCTGTTTTAATGATATTTGGTCTAAAATCTCCCATGGATGTTCCGTTAGGCTGAGATCTGGTGTTTAAAGGCCACAGCATGAGATTTTTTTTCATTAAAACATTAAGTAAACCCCTTACGATTACGGATGGAGGCATTGTCATCCAGGAAGAGACCACACCCATCACCATAGAAATGTTTCAGCATAGGATAAAGGTGATCACTCAGAACTATTTGGGTTTGATTTGCAGTGACTCTCTCCTCTAAGGGGACACGTGAACATGGCCGCAAAATGCCGCCCACAACGTAACGAAGCCACCAGAGCCCCTCAATGTGGGGGTCAAGCATTCAGGTCATGGATGTGTTGAGAGTTGGTCTAATGCTGCCACTCAGTCTTCTTGCTGATTTTCCCAGTGGCCACTCTGGGTTTCGTAATAAAAACACCTGCCACCAAACAAACCATTTTCCCCGTAGATCAGCATCAGCATAATAACACCCACAAGACTGGGTGTTATTAATATGAGTGTTTAATCCATGGAGGTTTCATGTTGTAAAGCCCAAACCCTTGTGCAAAGTCAAAGTGAGAAGTGAGATCGATGCGATGCGGAAGCAAATGTGGAGCTTGAAGACTTTTTGGGCTCATGAAGCAGGCACCAGTATCCAGGACTCCTCAATACATCCATTGTTTAGGTTATCAGCATTTTTTGTTCCCTTTTTGAAATGTCAGCTGACTAATGAGGCTACCCTTCCAAGGGACTACAGAGGAAAAGCAGAAAACAGAACCTGAAGGAACTTTCCTGATAATAAACTTAAAAGGACTTTCTGTGGATGCAATTTTTAAAAAATATTTTCGTTATTTTGTTCATGTTTTGGCCTTTAAATAATTTATTAAACAGCTGTGCTCCAGTAATTTAAGCATTGCAGTGAGTGGTCCAAACAAGGCACTACACTTAGAGGTTTTTTCTTTTTTTTTTTTTTACACAGTGCCGTGTTAGTTACTGATTGGCCTTGGGGGCATAACTGTGTAATTTGTTAAGAGATAAGATATTCGTTGTTTTTTACCCCTTGCTGTAGATTACCTTAAAGCGGTACTTGATGAAAACATTTTTCTCTGGAGAAGTGATAAATCCAAAGTGACTGCAATTATGAGTACGTGTATCCAGTCAAGACTGGAAGAAGGAAGCAAATGTATTCTTGATTTTCAGTTCCATATTTTCTCACAAAAAAAAAAAAAAAAAAAAATCCTTGTTAAAAATCGGACTACTGTTATGTTAATATACATATAGTGGTCAGTGGTCATGGCCTGCGATTCCTCCCGGTGTGGACAGCCCCAATGGTAGCATTTACCACAATCCTCAGTGCCATGCCATGCTTCCCTCAGTCCAGTGGTGTGTGTGTATGTATGTGTTTTTTGTTTGTTTGTGTGTGTGTGCCTACATGAAGGATGTTTTTAAATGCCGTAAAGCACTCTGCGTTGCTCTAGTGTATGAAGAGTGCTATACAAACAAAGTTCGATTTGATTTGATAGAGCTTCTGTAAAACTAGTGACTTCTTTTGCACATTCTGTGTGTTTCTGCTGTTTGCTGACGTGACTCTCCTCTGCAGGACCTCATGACGTTCACCACCAAAGCAGAGGATGACAGACTCATGGCTTCCAGCAAACAGGTGAGGCTTACCAGTGCACCAAACACTTCTCAGCACGAGCCTGTTGCAGATATTTGGGCTGTTACCTAAATCCTCAGAATGGTGCATACCAAGCATGTTTACAGGGATTTTTTTCAAGCTGTACAGCCACCCGAGCTTATATGTGATAGCAACTAGCGAAGGACAACATATCAAAACTAACAAAATGAAAGCTGTGAGCTGACTGGTGTCTATGCTCAGTTGTTGCTTCTTCTGAAAGGAGCACAGAAAGCCCAGTCCATTATTCTTGTCTAAAGTTACAGTGCCTGGCAAGTGGTACTAGAAGTGTCCAATAAACAAACCTTCTGCAGATTCATGCAGCTTTTTTCAAAAATCCATATGAGTGTTTTGTCTCTTGCTCTCTCTCCACTTAAAGAAATCCCAACATTATGTTGAAGCTTTACTTCTGACCCACCTATGTTGGCATATTTTCATGAGTATTTTTCCTAACGTGATTTTGTTCCTCCTCCAAGCTTGTGATTGACGACAGCGTCGCCATGACGCCGTTCTACCTGTTACTGGGAAAACACAGACATCAGCAACAGGAAAGCCAAGACCCAGTGAGCAGCCTTTCTGCTGAGAGGACACCTTTACCACAGGGCTCTGTTGCTGTCAAGGAGGTTGGTAGTTCAGTCAAGCACGGAGCATTTCTACTTGTACAGAAGCATCAACATTACATTTTACAACACAAAGACATCTTTTTAGCCTTATCGTATTGGTTTGACGTGACTTGTCTCTCTAACAGCTTCTGCAGTCTCCAGCCCACGTCCTGCCCTCTACTTCTTTCCTCTGCTCCATGTTCGTGCAGTCCCTGCTCATCTCCATCACAGACCCCAGGTCAGTAATCTACTCGTCTGAAAGCCTTTTGTCGAGCTTCAGAAAATCTGCAAGATTTCTGAATCCATGTCCAACTAGTTATTATTAATGAAATAACAATAATAAACATTAAATATGACACAATCAACATTAACCTGACACACATAGCATATCAGTTGTTCAACCACTGGGGGTCTTTTTTTCTTCTTTTTTTTAGTTTAATAACCTATATTTAGTTTCAATTTAATTAAAATCTTTATGTCATCTAGTTATCTGTCTGTCTGTGTGTATACGAGGCGTGTCTACTTCCAGGACTGGTGTCACAAAAGATATATTTCAAACCCAAACTACGAATTTTACCCTTCAAAGTAGCCGCCAGCATGTTTACAAAGAGATCCTGCAGCGTTTGCTTCATTCAGTGCGCGAGAAGAGGTGAGAGTTGTGGCAGGACAAGTCGTGGCTGCTTCACCATGACAACGTGCCTGCTCACAACGCCCTGAGCATCCCATAGTTCCTGGCTGAGAAGAACATCACCGTGCTGGAGCAAACTCGCTAATCACCCCACCTGACTCCGTGGGATTGTTTCCTCTTCCCCAAGCTCAAGGGGGTCATCAAGGGGACCCGTTTTGAAGACATGGATGACATCAAGATGGCTGTGACGATGGAGCTGCAGAGGATCCTGGAAAAATCCTTCCAGGACTGCATGACGGCGTGGCTGAGAAGGCTGGGAAAGTGTGTTAGACTCCAGGGGGATTACTACGAAGGGGAAAACTTGTAGTTTTGGTTTGAAATATATCTTTTGTGACACCAGTCCTGGAACTTTTCTGACACACCTCGTACATGCAGATATATAGATTATATATAGATATGTGGATGTGTGTGTAGGTCTAATAATATCAGCATGATTTGACAAAACAACAGAGGAACTGAGGCGTCACGGGGTTCAGCAGCTTGAGATCCAGCCTAAATCGGTGCACATGGGAAAATGTTGGCTTTGTTGTTTATGTCTGAAAATATGCAGAGTCATTAACCATTTGTTTCCCCCTTTGTGTTCGAATGGCTTCAGGGAGGCCAATAAAAATGCAGAGGAGGAAATGGAGAGTGAGAAAGAGGAAGAGGATTCAGAGGAGGAAATGGAAGCCAGCACCTCGAGGCCGGGGCAGGCGACAGTGAGTGGTCAGTCAGCAGAGTGTGCTGCCCCCACCCCTGCCCTCTCAAAAGCCCAGGCTAGAGAACTGAGGAGGGTGAAGAAACTTGACCGCAGCTGGCTGGCAGGCCTCCTGGACTTCTAGACATGACTATGCACAAAGATAGACTCTCATAATAGGTTTTCACCAGCCACCAGGAAGTTTTCTATTTTTTTTTTTTGCTTCATGCATCGTCTTCAAGTGGATTCCTTCCGGAAAAGAAAAACAAAGTGCCCAAGTGGAAAGAAATCTCTGTTCAAACACAAGATAAATATTTGAATGCATAAGTCGTTGCTGCTTTGGTGGCCTCAAGTCAGTCAATGTGGACACATCTATTGGTTTCACCCACTTGAACAATAGACGTTTCTGCACAGTTTCTCTTGTTTAAAAGTGCGGAGTCTCTGTTGCAGGGAAATTGTCCTTCACAAGCAGTTTTTTGGACTGTATTATGGTATTAGGACTTGGCTACACCCGAATATTACTGTTCCTGTGAGTCTGTGTGTGCATATTTGCAGTTGTAGCCTTGTTAGATAATAAATTCTTTCCAAACACGGTGTGCAGCAGTTTCCCTTTCTGCTGCACTAGAAGTTCAACGTGAGCTCAGTTCCTCATTTGTTGTGTTTGACTAATCACAAGTGATGCTGTGGTCTGTCCACGTGCACACTAGAGCCCTGTTGCAAATATTCCTGCAGTGGCAACCCCTTGTGAGTCCGTATCACTCCTTGCAATTCTTCTCAAATTGGTTTTGTCAATATGGAACCTTTTACTTGCTACCCTCTAAAGTCTGAGTTCCTGCTGCAGAGAAGCATCCCCACCGTGCTCTGGGAACACAGTATTTCTTTTGGCATAATATGGCCCAGAATTCCATACTAAGCTTTCAGCGTATTGTAACTCAAGTGGTCTGAGAGTAAACAAGACATCTGCACCACCTCTTGACTGCGTTTTTACAAAATCTGGCCTGTGAACAAAGTGTGAAGCGATCAACGACCACATGGTCAGAACCATCAGGACACTTCCAAATATATTGAATTGTATGCCACTGTTTGATCATCACTGTCCTAAAAAACAAAAAACGCAGCACCACAGATGGTTTTGGGATGCCATCATCAGGACAGTAAATACTTCTGCCATCATTTATTGTTTTCAGATTTGTATAGATTGGTTGGTGTTGCTTGTATATCGAAGTATTTTTGGTAGCTATTGATACGTGTTAAAAAAGCATCCACAGTGAGTCAGTTTCCACACAAGGGCCAATGGCAGGATGGAAAACTTTTATACATACCTTGTTTTTCTACACACTGAAGTTTAATAAAAAAAAAAAAAATTAAAGGTTTTCTTCAAGCTACCAACTTCAATGACTTTGCCTCGTCTCTAACCTTTGTACACATCAGTGTGTATTCCAGAGTCCAAACTCGCAGCCTTTTTCCATTGCCAGTATTATGGGATGCAAATGATTACATGTGTGGTGTGTGTGTGTGATATTTCTCATATTGTATAAGCTGTTGAAGCATGACTGACATCAAAGGATCAGAATTAAGACATCAACAAACGTCAGGACGACATCTTTGATATTAGCTACTCCCTGCTTTTCTCCTGAGATCGTAAACTCTACATTTTTTTTTTTTTATGTGTAACTGAAATAGCATGTTATAGGTGCTGTAAAGTCAGATCGCGCAGATTCTTGAGTAACGAGTGCTGAAGTCCTGAGTAAGCTTTTTTCCTGAAGGCGAGGATCACGTTTTGTTCCCAGGGTTGGATAAGACCGTGCACTTTCATCTCAGCATTTTCAGTTCCTTTCTCAGTCAGGTGCTGTTGCTGCTCCGGGGCCTCCTACTGCTGAAGACACATCTAATCTGTCCTGTCACGATGCGAGTGTGACGGACGTTGGTGATTTCGTTGCTGCTGATCAAACTGGGTCATCCTATATATCACCATCTGGTCCTAAACTGCATTAGGCACTTTTATGGACCTGATATGATCTAGAGATTGTAAAGCACGCCCTGGAACGATAAAATATCGTGATTAACTACCTTCGAACCAAAGAGAAAAGGAGAGCGGGAAATACAGTAATTCCTGGAAGGCATCTGTATTAATCTATGAGTCTACTTCACCTACATACTCAACAGACATGCCTGCATAGACAACCCCTTCACAGAAATGTGACAATAAACGAATCTTCATCAGAAAATAAATCAAATCAGAAGGTCTGTATATATACAGTTGAAACCAGAAGTTTACATACACCGTACAAAAACCCACATAACCTTTTTTTTCTCTCTATCTGACATTAAATCAAACTAAACTTTTCCTGTTTTAGCTCAGGGCTTTGTGATGGCCACTCCAAAACATGGACTTTGTTGTCCTGAAGCCTCTTTGTAATTAATCTGGCGCTATGCTGAGGGTCGTTGTCCATCTGAAGACCCATTAGTGCCCAAAGCTTTAACTTCCTGGCTGATGTCTTGAGATGTTTCCTCAATATTTCCACATAATCTTCTTTCCTCATGATGCCATCTATTTTGTGAAGTGCACCAGTCCCTCATGCAGCAAAACACCCCCACAACATGATGCTGCCACCCCTGTACTTCACAGCAGGGATTGTGTTCTCAGGCTTCAAGCTTCACCCTTTTCCCTCCAAATGTAACGATGGTCATCATGGCCAAACAGTTCGGTTTTAGTTTCATCAGACCACAGGACATGTCTCCACAAATGAAGGTCTTTGTCCCTGTGTGTATTTGCAAACTGTAATCTGGCTTTTTTTATGTTGCTCTTGAAGTCTTCTTCCTCTCTGAGCAGCCTTTCAGTCCATGTCGGTCCAGAACTGGTTTCACTGTGGATAATGACTCTGACCAGCTTCACCAGCATCTTCACAAGATCTTTAGCTTTTGTTCTGGGGTTGATACGCACATTTTGCAGCAAAACACTTCATCTCTGGGACACAGAAATTGTCTTCTTCCTGAGCGCTATGATGGCTGCACATTCCCATGAGGTTTAGACTTGCATATAAATGTTTGAACAGATGAACGTGGAACCTTCAGGCATCAGGAAATTATACCCAAGGATGAAGCAGACTTGTGGAGTTCCACAATTCTCTTCTTGATATCTTGGCTACAATGAAAGCAGTGTGTTTGAGGTATGCCTTACAATACATCCACAGGTGTGCCTCCAATAAACTATCCAATTAACCTATCAAAAGCTTCCAAAGCCATGACATCATCATCTGGGCTTTCCCAAACAGTTTGAAGGCATAGCAATCTTAGTGTATGTAAACTTCTGACTTTAAATGAAAGTAATAAAAAAAAATCTCTAAAAAATTCTCTATCACATTATTCTGGTATTTAGCAAATATAAATAATTTTGGTAATCCCAACTGACCTAAAACTGTTAAAGTTTAATCTCATTTAATGTCAGACAGTGACAGAAAAAAAAGGTTTTATGTCGTTTTTATGTCAGTGTATGTAAACTTCTGGTTTCAACTGTATCTTTAAATATGAAGCTATCGCCAGTTAGCTTAGCTTAGCATAAAAACTGTGTTGATTAGTCTGGTTTTTATATGTTTGTTGAGATAAGTGCCGGCTTTAAAGATGTGCAATTTATCATTTCACTCAAATGACCAGATTTCCCCAAAAGTTGACAAAAAATCCTCCAGCAACTGAGAAGGTTATCCTGCCTCGGGCAAACTAACGTAACCAACCACCAGACCAACAGTCTGTAAAGTTCCAGTGTGTACTGCTGTAATTATACACTGGAAAATGCTGTGCATGCTACACAGCGTACCTGACTAATGACTGACTTGTGAAATTGAGCAATGTATGGACTTCTAACATCTGACTTTTCCTATCAGCTGTAGTATTGGTTAAATATTATTACTGATGTTTCCTTGAAAATTACAGCAAAAGTTTTTTTTCTTTCTTTTTTTTACTGGGAACTGCAGCTTCATCAAAAGAAAACAGGATACTGACCAAACCTACATGCTTACTGTTGATAAAGTCTGTTTCTCTGAATACCTATTATTATAGAAGATACTGTAAATCTTGCACATAAAAAGGATGATATCTCAACTGCGGCACTTATCTTGAGTCCCAGTTTATGTCTGTACATTGGACTTTTGACACAGTCAGCAGCATTTTTTTCCCTCGCAAGTATACAGTTCATCAGGTGTGAGAGCTCTGAGTCACGGCTCTGAACCCTGTTTTTTTGCTTTGACCTTCTGTCTTGAACTGATAAACGCTGATCGGCCACAACGTTAAAAAAAAAAAGGCTGTTGAAATGAATAACATGGATTATCTCAACACAGTGCAATGTTCTGCTGGGAAATCTTGGATCTACACAGAAACGTCACACTGTTAAGTGGACGTTAAAGTGATAAGTACCAAATACCTAACTGGAGCTCAAGGAACATGACCAAGAGCCTGGGGTGTTGATCTGGCCTCCAAAATTGCCAGATCTCAACCTGATGGAGCATCTGTGGCACTGCGACCAACTTGATCCACAGGGCCATGATGAATCCGAGGTGTGTTGGTGGCCCTACACAGATTAGATCATTGTGAGACATGTCTTAGAATACAGCTGACAGAGTAAGTGCATTTTGAGAGTGCAGACTCAGCATAGAAAGATCTCAGCATGTCATGATTAACAGTCTTAATCTTTAAAAGGAGACAATGAAAGTTTGTGTTTTTAAAGTGTATAAATAAAGAGATCAGTTTTATGGTTACATGTGTTTTTGTTTTTAACTACTGTTCGAAATGGAATAAACCTTTATAATGTACAGTGCTTAACAAATTTATTAGATCACCTGTCTAATTTGTTAAGAACAATATATATATGTATATATTAATCCTCACTAGGGTCGTGGGGGGGCTGGAGCCTATCCCAGCCGATTTAGGCGAAGGCAGGGGACACCCTGGACAGGTCGCCAGTCTATCACAGGGCCACACTTAGAGACAATTTAGAATCACCAATTAACCTCAACATGTTTTTGGACTGTGTGGGAGGAAGCCTTGATCCACAGGGTGGATCCACTTGATCCACTTGATCCACTTGATCTTGATATATATATATATATATATATAGAGAGAGAGAGAGAGAGAGAGAGCATCCAGCATCATGAAGTGCTTTAATTTGCACTCAGCTCTTGACGTTTTAGCATTTAGAAGACAGGAATGAGGAATTTCAAACTGAACTCACCTTTTTATACCCAAATCTGAGCCACTGAGCTTCTCTGAGAAATTAATCAAGCATAACATTCAACCACTAAAACTAACTCTTCTGTTCAGGAATGCAAGTAAATAACTATAAATTTGACATCTTAATCAAGAAATAATAATGTGCTTTACTATTTTTTCAGGTTTTTTTTTAAACAGTGTATTTGAAAATTCACAGACAACAATAAAATAATTATATTTTAGCATTAAAAATATCGGCTGGGATGGGCTCCAGCCCCCCTGCGACCCTCGTGAGGATTAAGCGGTGTATAGATAATGGATGGATGGATTAAAAATATAATTTGGGTTAAAGAGCTTCTACATACTGGTGTATTAACCATTGCAGAAACATAAGAAATGATTTTGGTAATTACCAACGCTGTTAATTTATGGAAGCTGTGGCATAAACCTGACATTGGTTGGTGGTCTAATACATTTGTTAAGCACTGCATATCACTGATCAAATAAAAGGGATGGTAATATGTGAGGTAGTTTTTATCTGTGATGTGCACACAAACTGCCTGCAGAAATGTAAAACTGTACAGCTGTACTGATTCGCCATCTTAGCGATTAGCAGTAAATTGGTGTAAATCCCTTTGAGTGGTCCTAACTAGGCTGCAGGTAGATTAAATGCATGGCAGTAATGACATATGTAAGTCCATTTAATGCTAAAACGAGCACAAAATGCCGAGTCACTATCATGCCTCAGGCTCAAACCCTCCTTTCTTGCTCACGCCGTGCAAACCCAGATGGCTCTTTGTCTTTGCAGCAGCCCTTTAAGTGCAGGTCATCCAGCTCAGCTTAAAGTCAGTCAGTTTAACACTGGCTGCCTAAAGAGAAGGGATTCCTGGGAGGAAATTAGCTGCTAACTCTGCTGTGGTATGTGACCTCACACAGCAGCAGCCAAGCCCGAGACTGAGGCCAAAAAAGACCTGCGAACATAATACACACCCACAGAAGAGTTTCCAGACAAGCAGTTGCAAAGGTTTTCTTTATTTAAGAGACCTCATGCAATACAAGCAGTACCAATGTCCTCATATTCAGTGGAGTGCGATCATTGTACATAAAAATGAATCTGATTTCTTAATGATTTCATGTTTTTGTCTATCAAACTACAATAACACTGATATACTGCATATATATATACACATGTGTAGAGATATTGTCAGATTGAAGCCGTATGATACAGATGTATTCAAATGACATGCAGTAATCGCTTTGAAAACAAATTTCAAAAAAATCACAATTAACACTAAGTATATAAAAACCTGTAATAAAAAAAGTTTTCAGACAAACAGCATAACAACAGTATACACAATATATATATTTTGTTTTACATTTTTTCCAATTGTACATTAGGTTTATAGTGACTCACAGCGAATGTTATTTACATTAAAAATATAGACTTTATGGCCATGTGTGATCTTCCTGAATCAGCAGAGCAGCTGTTTTAAGAGCTGAGGTTTTGAGGGTGGAACATGAACATTTTGAAGCTCTGTTCCCAGTAAGCCTGCACCTCGAGACACACCTGCAGACATCCATTTTCTCTACAAGGTTTCACAGGAATGTGCCGCGAAAAAGCGGTCCTCTGTTCTCTTACATCTGGTGTGGCTAGCTCTGTTTCCAACCCAAATATTTTTTTTTCCTTCACCACCATTTAAATCTTGGCTGGACTGGCTAGCTTTCTAAGTTGAAGTGTGGCTAGTAACGGTCTCCAAGTAGCCACGTATGTGCGTTAAACAGCTGTCAAGGCTATTTTCCAATAAGGCGTCGGGAATTACTGAGGGTCACAAACAGTAGATACAGCTATACTAAGTACTTTGGGAAGATCTTGACAGTGATATTTTATAGCTTCTGAGAGATTAAATCAAATTATTCCTCTTACAAATTAAAGGTTAAATTCATAGGAAGTAAAATGCACCTTTGGGTTTTACTGCTACAGTCCTTCTCGGTCTGTATGTCGCCAAGCTTTACGTATCGTAGGCATTGCTACGACGCCAGCATTTGTAAATATCCTAAAGTTTTGAGACGTCTTTTTCTTATAAAGATGTTAAATGACTTCACGGGAAAAAGTAGCATAGAAAAAAAAGCTTTTGTGAGGTACTATTTCATGACTAGACTGGACCCGTGAAGCCAAAGCCATCAGTGGCAGAACTTTGACTTGAGTGGAACGGTGCCACTGTAAAAGCTCACAACAATGAGAGCGAAAGGCTTGTTGGCAATCTGAAGCAGGAACATGATATCAGATAAGGATTGCTGACTAAGTTCCTTGGCTGTTTTTGTTTTTTGGAGGAAATGGGGGTGTCTGGGGTAATCTGGGGAGGGTTCACAGGAGCTAGAATCATTTTTTTCCTCATGAATATCCGGCGCTGTGGACTGAACTATGTGCCTTCTTTTTCTTAAAACCACATTGCCCCCCCCCACAACAAAAAGCCTGTCATGGCTGGTATAGCATTGTGCAGTGGGTGGGTCGGAGGGGGTCTCGGGGGGAGTGAGGACTTCAGCCTTGTGCAAAAAAGTATTGAACTAATGCCTGATCACGCATTAGGTCTACTGACGGATGTCAATCACTTTATAAAGTGCCTGAGTAACGACAATCACGATTGAGAAATCACTCCAAAGAACTTAAACATGAAAATCAAAAAAAAAAGGTGACAAAATTACACTGTTAATGTAAACTACCTGAAAAATTAAATTTAAGTACAATCTCCAAGCGTGTTCAGAAATATTCAGATATATTAAGGTTGAACTGCTTTCACCGGGTGTAAAAATATATATTTGGAATGCAGAGATTACTGGTTTCCCTCACTTCCTTTTATGCCCTGTGGACTTCAACTTTGGTAACTGAGAACTATTGATAAGGGTGCATAGGGTTTCTCATTTGTTTTATATGGCACAACTGCAAGAAACACAATACTGATGATACAACTATTTAAAAAAAACACCGTCTGCATTTCCTGAATAAATACAGCTAAATGCGTAACCCTTATAAAGACGTATTAAAGAGACTAGATCCCAGTTTTGTGTTTGGTTAAATAAAAGTATCCTCCTCCCCTCAGGAGGAAGACACCCAAAACCTGCTCATCATACATGTATATATGTATATATGTAAGCTGATGCAACCAAAAGCAGGCTCTCAGAGAACAGTGAGCAGACACAGCTACAGCACCAATGAACTCGTGACGTTCTGTCTTTTAGGATCTCAGACGGTCGTCGCCTTTAATTCAAGCCTCAGTGCCTGCTTCCCTGCAACATTTCTACCTCATTTTGCCCTTTTGTTAGCTGAAGCACCTTGTATAAATCTTTTTCAGCTAGATCCAGGCAATTAGAAGGAGAATATTTTACAGTGCCGTATCCCCTGATTCCTTTAACAGCACTCAGAATAGAGCCTATTAGTGATGGATCCTTATCTGACACGTGTAATGTGCTGAGGAGCAGGGATCCACAGACGAAAAGCTGAGGCTCTCATCTGACTCAAAATGTTACAGAAACCCTGCCTTCTCTAGAGTCTCACTACAGATTAGTATTCTGTGACTGTAAGCTTTCTACTCATCTCCTTCTGCTAATGATTAATGCTTTATGAACAGCTAGGCATAGCGGGTTAAGTTACCATACTCGTTTCGTTAGCATTAGCATTCAGCCAGCTACAGACAGTGATGTTAGTTGGACAAATAAGATGCAGGGGTAGGGTAAGGCTTGAGAAGTATGTACCCAGGACAGAGTCTCTTTAACAGGGTTAGACGGTGGTGGGAAGTGAGGGGCTGTCATCCGTCTCAACCTTCTGCTCCGGCGAGCAGCAGAGGAAGAGGCGGCTGCCCAGGCTCTTGAAGGCAAACCGAAAGTACATGATGTGACCCATGGCCACAAAAGAGACAGAGATGATGACCAGGAGCCCGAAGGCCTCTGGGTTCGGAGCCAGAATCACCATGATGAAGTGCAGAAGGTCTAAGAGGTAATTCATGGAGTTCTGGACGCCGTTGATCACACCTCGCTCTGACTCAATCACATTCTCCTGGATGAGCTGGGTCACTGTCAGGTCAAAGGACCACAGACCTGCGGGGATGAGACGGAGGTCAACAGTCAGTACTAATGGCATTTTTATAGCCGCATTAAAAACAACTTCAGAACTCAACAGTAGCTGCTATCAGGCAGTATCACAGGTATCAAAGGTTGCAAATATTACTCTGACATCCGTGGTCGACTCGTACATGTTCCGGGCAGTTATGAGATAATCCTGTAAACCTGCCTGAGTCGCTTCTAGGAAGTCGTAATTTGCAAAATTGTATAATCTTATGAAAGGAAGTGAACATGCCAATAAAGCGCTGACACTGAGTCCAGCACACACTCATTTCCTTCACAACAAAACTAATAAAGATAAACTTGATCATTTGCACTTTCAACTTTGCTTCTAATGGTGCATCTTGCAGCTACATCCGATGAAACATCACGAGTATTTAGATAACCACTTCTACCACGTGATCAGGATGACAAACAAGGGGACGCACGTTACTCACCAACTCTAGCAGCAATGACGCCAGCAAACAGCAGACTAACAGACATGTAGGACGGCGGAGGATGCTCTTCAGCAGGTGCGGCAGTAGTGATGTTCAGACTGGTAAAAGCACTGGTAATGCTGTGCTCCGCCTCAGGCAGCGTCTTCTCTCCTATCAGGTGGGAGTAAATGTCCTGGAACGGGGAGACTCTGAGGTTGAAGGGGCTTCCGGGAGCGAAGACGGAGACGACGCACAACATGAGGCAGGACAGCTGGGCCACACCCGAGATGAAGCCCGTGCGGATCAGGCCGCACTTCTTGCGAACCCAAGTGAAGGCGACGGTGCCGCAGATGCCCGAGACGGCCGATGCCCCCATCAGCAGGCTGAGCACTGAGCCGTTGAGGCCCTGCGTGTAGGCATAGCCCGTGGTGATGCAGTCGAAGCCCAGCACCGTCATGTAGAGGAAGGCCAGGGACATGCCAGCAAAGAAAATGCTCTGGTTGTAGTAGGCCACCCAGCCGGACTTGAAGGTGCGCAGGGGTTCGGCCACCTGGTAGCAACAGCCGCTCTGCTTGGGGGAATCGGGCTTGTCCACCGCTGAGGTTTCATTCATCAGTGGCTGAGACGACTCTTCAGGACTTTGGCCGTTCTCCAGATCTTTGAAACAGCAGAAAAGCAGAGATTTAGTCATAATTCAGTCCAGACCATGAGACACATCCAAACTCTATAAATGACATGATACCTGAATAAAATACATAATTCTACCAGGACTTTAACTTCAAAAGACAGAAACCCAAGATGACTGCAGCTACCTCTTGTGGGGCTGAGCTGTTTGAGCTCCTGCTGCTGCTGCTGCTGCTGCTGCTGCTCTTTTTGTCCGGCTTTCACGGCCAACGCGGGCGTCTTCTGGTAGACCTTCCACAGCAGCGCGTACTCCACACACATGGAGCACAGGTTCCAGCCAGAGATGAAGCCACAGCCAATGTAATGGGAGCCAAAGGCCATTATCTGGCCCACCAACATGGGAGCCAAGATGTTGGTCAGCTGGTCGATAATCCGCACCGTGGCATTCATGTCTGTGTGGCACAAAAATGCAGGGAGATGTCGGTCAGTATTAACAGTTTCTCTACAACTGATTTAGTCAAAGGAAATATGTTCAAACAGTGATTGTCCTTATAGTCGAGTAGCTTTTACACCAGGACGATGGCACCAGCACGGCACATTGATAAGGGTCAACAAGTTTAAAGTGCTGAGAGTGTTTTGCACCATGTGAGTAAATCTTTTAAATAGCTTATAACAATCAGGAGAAAACTGTGAGAACATAAAAGGTTAAAAAAAAAAAAATGGGAGTGAGTCAGCATCCGGGGTTCAAAGTCTTCACCACTAGTTCTGATAACGGATCACGCGAGGCCTACATTCGGCGATAAGCCAGCAGTGGGTATAGAACACTGACCTGCCAACTTGCTGCTGTCTTGACCTGCCACAACCACCACCCAGTCCCTCTGGATGGTGATGGACGTAGCCGTGCTGGCCAGGTTCGCGATGTTGGCAATGGTGATGACCAGAATGTAGCAGGTTGTCTGAAAAACAGAATGAGCGCAGTTTTACATTTATTGAGCATCTGTATTGATTTTGTGTCCTAAAATCACATGACAAGACCAAAAAA